AGTCCAGCCAGTCTTGTGGATGCCTCGCGTGCAAGAACAACCACATTTCATGCCAGGTCTCCATCATTGTTGGTTTTTTTGTTGTTGAGATGTATGTGTTCTTTGTATATTTTGGATATTAACCCCTTATCTCATATATGGTTTGCAAATATCTTCTCCCAACTGTTAGGTTGTCTTTTCATTTTGTTGATGGTTTCCTTTGCTGTGCAGAAACTTTTTAGTTTGATGTAGTCTCATTTGTTTTTCGTTTCCCTTGCCCGGTCAGACATGGTACTTGAAAATATGCTGCTAAGACTGATCTCAAAGAACATACTGCCTATGTTTTCTTCTGGAAGTTTCATGGTTTCGGGTCTTACATTCAAGTCTTTAATCCATTTTGAGTTGATTTTTGTGCATGGTGTAAGGGAATGGCCTACTTTCATTCTTTTGCATGTGGCTGTCCAGTTTTCCCAATACCATTTACTGAAGAGACTCTTTCTCCTTTGTATGCTCTTGGCTCCCTTGTCGAATATTAGCTGTCCATAAATGTGTGGGTTTATTTCTGGGCTCTCAGTTCTGTTCCATTGATCTGTGTGTCTGTTTTTGTGCCAGTACCATGCTGTTTTGGTTATTATGGCTTTGTAGTATATTTTGAAATCAGGGAGTGTGAGACCTCCAGCTTTATTCTTTTTTCTCAGGAATCCTTTGGCTATTCAGGGTCTTTTGTTGTTCCATATAAATTTTAGGATACTTTGTTCTATTACTGTGAAAAATGCTTTTGGAACTTTGATAGGGATTGCATTGAATCTATAGATTTCTTTAGGAAGTATGGACATTTTAACTATGTTAATTCTTCCAGTCCAAGAGCATGGAATATCTTTTCATTTCTTTGTGTCTTCTTCAATTTCTTTCAACAATGTTTTATAGTTTTTGGTGTACAGATCTTTCACCTCCTTGTTTAAGTTTATTCCTAGGGATTTTATTATTTTTGTTGCAATTTTAAATGGGATTGTATTCTTAATTTCTCTTTCTGCTCCTTCATTGTTAGTCTATAGAAACGCAACCGATTTTTGTATGTTGATTTTGTATACTGTAACTTGACTTTATTCATTTATTATTTCTAAAAGTTTTTTAGTAGATTCTTTAGGGCTTTCTATATATAAAATCATGTCATCTGCAAAGAGTAACAGTTTCACTTCTTCTTTTCCACTTTGGATCCTTTTTATTTCTTTTTCTTGCCTGATTGCTCTGGCTAGAACTTCCAATACTATGTTCAATAAGTGTGGTGACAGTGGGCATCCTTGTCTGTTCTTAAAGGGATAGCTTTCCGTTTTTCTCCATTGAGAATGATATTTCCTGTGGGTTTGTCATATATGGCCTTTATTATGTTGAGGTATTTTCCTTCTATGCCCATTTTATTTAGAGTTTTTATCATAAGTGGGTGCTGTATCTTGTCAAATGCTTTCTCTGCACCTATTGAGAGGATCATGTGATTTTTATTCTTCATTTTGTTAATGTGGTGTATCACGTTGACAGATTTGCAGATGTTGAACCATCCCTACATCCCTGGAATAAAACCCACTTGATCATGATGTATGATCTTTTTAATGTATTGTTGTATTGAATTTGCTAGCATTTTGTTGAGGATTTTTACATTGATGTTCATCAGTGATATTGGCCTGTAATTTTCTTTTTTTGTGTTGTTGTTGTCTGGTTTCGGTATCAGGATAATGTTGGCTTCGTAGAATGAGTTAGGAAGCCTCCCCTCCTCTTCAAATTTGAAAGAGTTTGAGAAGGATAGGTATTAAGTCTTCTTTGAATGTTTGGTAGAATTCACCAGGGAAGCCATCTGGTCCTGGACTTTTATTTCTTGGGAGGTTCTTGATTGCTGTTTCTATCTCCTTACTGGTGATTGGTCTATTCAAATTCTCTACTTCTTCTTGGTCCAGTTTTGGAAGAATGTATGATTCTAAGAATTTATCCATTTCTTCTAGCTTATCCAATTTATTGGCGTATAGCTTTTCATAGTATTCTCTTATGCTCTTGATTTTCAGAAGAGTCCATTGTAATTTCTCCTCTTTCATTTTTGATTTTATTTATTTGAGCCTTCTCTCTTTTTTTCTTGGTGAGTCTAGCTAAGGGCTTGTTGATTTTGTTTACGTTTTCAAAGAACCAGCTCTTGGTTTCATTGATTGTTTTCTATTGTGTTTTTCATCTCTATTTCATTTATTTCTGCTCTGATTTTTATTATCTCCTTCCTTCTACTGATTTTGGGCTTTGTTTGTTCTTCTCTTTCCACTTCCTTTAGGTGCACTGTTAGATTGTTTATTTGGGATTTTTCTTGTCTGTTGAGTTAAGCCTGAATTGCTATAAACTTCCTTAGAACTGCTTTTGCTATATCCTATAGATTTTGACATGTTGTGTTTTCACTTTCATATGTTTCCAGGTATTTTTTGATTTCTCCTTTGATTTTTTCATTGACCCAATAGCTCTTCAGTAGCATTTTGTTTAGCACCCACTTGTTTCAGGCTTTGGAAGGTGCAGCCAATCCCCTATGTGGTTATTTGTGAAGCACAGGTCTTCTGTTGTTTATAAGCCCTATGGCTCACAGGTCAGCACACACCGTCAACACAGTCCTGACCCATGCACATGTGCCATTCCTCTGGAGCAGACCCAGTCATCCCACTGCATAGCCCCCCCCCCTCCCGCCCCCGCCATGCCACCAATGCCCCACCCACTCCACCACTCCTCATGTACACCCTGCCTCGCAGAGGTGGACCCACTACTCAGCCTTCAGAGGATCTAGGCATCCAGTCTATTCAAGTTGAAAAGTTGCCTAAGGGCTTGCTGTTGGGTGGGGCCAGTCCCTAGGGCCGGCTGCCTGCCCTGGCTGAGCTGGATTAAATCAGTGGGGCAGACCCTGGGCTAACAGGCCAGGGAAAAAACTCCAATGGCATCCACCAGTGTCTCAGCATGCCTGTACTAGGTCACAGTAACGGCTGCCACCAACGTCTTGGTCCCTGGAGAGGTCTCACCTCTCACCAAGATGCACTCAGAGCCTATCATGTGAGTCTCTTTTCTTTTCTTTTTTTTTTTTTTTTTTGAGGAAGATTAGCCCTGAGCTAACTACTGCCAATCTTCCTCTTTTTGCTGAGGAAGACTGGCCCTGAGCTAACATCCGTGCCCATCTTCCTCTACTTTATATGTGAGACGCCTAGCACAGCATGTCTTTTGCCAAGCGGTGGCATGTCCACACCCAAGATCCAAACCCGCGAACCTTGGGCCACTAAGAAGCGAAATGTGCGAACTTAACCGCTGTGCCACTGGGCCGGCCCCTACATCCTTATCTTTAAGAGTATTATTCTTATCTTTGGGACATAGCAAATACTTAAAGCTGATAAAAAATGCATGCACAATGGCCACATCAGGCCCTTCTGGAAAAACAAGTTCAGGCTGAATTAATTTTACACCAAAGGATTCCTCATATACTCCAATATCCTATTGCTTGTCATTTATTTATCACATAGTTTCTCATACTGATATATTTTTACACTGCATCCCATAAAGCCACCTGTCAAAAATTCCTTATAATTTTGCTAGACACAAGAATTTATATTTTTTCCTATATTATACTTCTTTACCCACAGCTCTGACAATTTCTTTGGGATAAACTCTAAATGGAATTGGTGGTTTAAACAACATGTTTCTTTTAAAACTTTTAACATATGAAAGTTATGTTAAAAATTAAATTTTGAGGGTGCTAGGCCCCCAAAATGTTTACTCACATTGGTTGATGCTTTCATTTATTTACTTATTTAGTGAGGAAGATCAGTCCTGAGCTAACATCCGTGTCAGTCTTCCTCTATTTTACGTGGGATGCCATCACAGCACCGCTTGAAGAGCAGTGCTAGGTCCGCACCCTGGATCTGAACCTGTGAACCCCAGGCCACCAAAGCAGAGTGTGGGACCTCAACCACTACCCCATTGGGCTGGCCCCAAGGTTGATGTTTTTATTCTTTGCCGCCCAACAGGAAGAAAATGTCGGCTCCTTTAGTCTGCTTTTTAAATACCAGTCATGTTACCTTTTTTTTTTCTACTTTTGTGGTCATACAGGCTTACAACTCTACAAATAAATCTTGCTCATTCTTAATTTTCCAGCACTGAGAGATTGTTTCACCAGAAAATTTCTCCCTGTTATCAATTCCTACCCATCTCAGTAATAATAGCATTCATTGCTGCCAGGAATTTGGACATCATACACCCTTGTCCTTACCTTTTTCATGCACGTATATTTCCTCTTCAAAAAACATTGAGTTGCTCAAGGGCAAGGGCCCCACAGAACTGAGGCCCAGCGTCTAAGGGCCCCGTGTCCCTTAATAATTGACCTTCCCAGGCGTGCTCTCAAGGCAGTGGGGGAGAGTAATTCACGATAGGGGTTGCGAGTGCAGAGGCCGAGTCTTCATGGTTTTGAACTCTAGCAGGCCTGCACGGGATGCAGTAGCAGAGGCTCAACCAAGGCTCTCAGGTATTGTCCCTAATTGTGCCTGACTGATGCTGAATACTGAGGGCCCAGGTAGTTCTGACAGCCTGGAGCGCCCCAGGGCAACTGAAGCCCGGAGGCGGCTGGTCCCACGGTGACCCGCTGCCTGGGCTCCCGGTTTCTATTTTCAGGTCGAGGCGCTTTATTCTTCGACCCAGCGATCCGGGAAAGGGCCACTGACGACCCGCCAGCTCTTGTTTCCTTTCCGCCCTTCGTGCGTGGGGTGTTAACCGCTTACGAATGCGGCGGTGACCCAGCCGTTTCCCGCAAGCCTCCTCGGGTCTCCCGGGCAGGTCTGCAGAGGGTGCGGCCAGAGAGCGGTCAGGCTCACGCGGGAGGAGCCGGAGCCGCCCGCAGACGCGTGTCCCTTAGATCCCAGCCAGGTTCCGCGGCGTCCTCTCCAGGCCTAACGCGCCTTCCCCGCGCCGAGGCCCCGCCCCCTCGGCCCAGGTGCGTCACGTCACTTAAGCCCTGGGCTCGGCCCAGGCCACGCCCAAGCGCCGTTTGGCTCAAGATGCTCTGCTAGTCTGGGGTTTGTTGCGTCTGGTGACCTGACTCTAAAGGGTTGTTCGCCCGGCTCTCGGGAATCCGGGGGATCTCCCCGAAAATGACGGAGTCTTGCGCGCGGCGCTGGGCACCTCTCTGTCGCCCCGAGAGCCACTTCTCTTCTTGGTGTTCCGTTGGGATCCTTTTAGGGGCCCTAGTGCTCCTGCTACCCATGTCCTCCGGTAGGAGCCTGGAGAGGGCGTGCGCTCCAGCGCGAACGGGAGAGGGTCGGAGGCAGGCCGACCGGAGCCGAAGGCGGGGGAACTTCGCTCGTTGGGTCGTGCAGGTGGCGCGGGGCTGAGTCGACCCGGGTCGTGCCGAGTGGGTAGTGCGTGGCCAGCCTTCCTCCCGGGTGGCGCTGAGCAGGGATCCCGGCGGTGAGGACCACGAAGCGCAGGAGGTGAAGGCTTGGTGGTCGGCACCGAGCGGTGCGGGGGGGTGGGTGAACCGGTGTTGACCGGGCCAGGCTGTGTCCCTAGCGAAGCCGCGGGCGGTGTTGTCGGGTGTGTGCTCCACGCAAGTGGCCAGCCCAGCGGTGCCGAGTGTGGAGCAAGTAAGCCCGCTGCTCGCTTTGTCAGGGGGCTGGGAAGCTCGTGGTGTGCCTGTAGCGCTGGGGTCAGAGCAGGTTCTGGGTGCCTGGGGTTCCGAGGGTTTGGCAAGGCGCGCCCTGCTTTTGTACCTGACGTTGACAGACTCCTTCTTGTCCAAGATCATACTAGAATCCGTTTGCAGGCTGTTGCTTTTTTTTTTCCCATGTAGTTATCTTCCTGCTCCCAATCAGTACAGACAGTATCCAGTTTTATTACCGAATGGCTTTTTGGCATTCTTCCTTTCTTTTCATTAGGTTGGATCATATTGGAGGGGATACCCGAAGTAACCTGAAAAATATTGGTAGTGAGAAATGATTATCGTAAGAGATGAACGATAAATAATGTGAATTTGGCTTTCCTCTGCAGCTCAAAAACTATGGCTGAAGGCCCATCAGCTAAATTTGTTTCGTGTTTCACTGAATGGAAATGAGTACTTTAGAAATATATTTGGTGGAAAAGATATACTTATTGTATAAAATATACAAATCAAAGGACAACTGTTTTAAATACTTTGGTGTATTTCTTCTGTCTTCATATTGACGTGTGTTCCTTTGCCCAAGTTATTTTCAGGATCCTGTTACATATACCGTTTGTATGCTGCATTCTTTCCTTAGCAGCGTTCATTCCACAAAGATTTGCCTTCCATGTGCCAGGTCCTGTGCTGGTCCTGAGCGTACCCTGCTCAGCAATAACAAACCATTCCTGTTTTCATGATCTTTATTGTCTGTCTGCACACACACCCGAATATAAGCAGAGATTGTATTTGCTCACTGTTAGATCCCCAGTGCCAAGCACACAGTAGATAATCAAGAAATATTTGCTAAAAGTTGTTGGGAGTGGCAGACAGTAACGAAAACATAATGCTAATGAATACGTTATAACCCAAAAGAAGTGCTCTGGAGGAAAGGAGCCTGAGACTGACAGCATTTAGCAAACGAGTGGAGGTGGGGAAGACTTTCCTGCTCATCAAACAGGCCAGCTCTGCCACTTTGAGGCTTCTGCACTTGCTATTCCTTCAGCCTTGCAACATGGTCCTCCTGCCTCTTGCATTATTGGCTCTTTCTCATTCTTCAAAGTCAGTTGAGATGTGACTCCCTCAGATGGACCTTCCCTGACCACCCAGTCTCAGGTAGACACACATACACTCTCCAGCTTAAATCCTCCCTGGCTTGTAGTCGCCATTCCTAAACTCTCTTTTCTGTTTGCTCCCCACTAGAATGCAGAGGTCTTGTCTGTCTTGTCACACTTGTGGTTCCAAATGCCCGTTTTTTTTTTTTTTTTTTTTTGCGTCTATTTCAACAGTCTTGTATTACTATTAAATACTAGAAAATTAAATATACTATTCAGCAGGGGCTTAGATCTCTGGAAAAAATGCGTCAGGAGGAAGGTTCTTCAAGGCGCTGTATTTACGAGGGCCTTCCTGCGGTGCCTATAACCTATGGCAGGACAGCTGAGGGTCCAGGAGGCTGTGTCTTCCCCTGTTTGTAGACTCTCCAGGGTCACAGTATTGCAGTCTTACTTGTTACAGATCATTAACAAGTTCATTTCTATATATGAGGGGGTGGGGGATGGAACAGTGGTAGTAAAAAGAAAACAAAAGGAATTTTTAAGAAGAATAATGTTTAGAATAGTGTTAAAGCTAGAAGTTAAAGGAGACTTTGAAAGCTATTTAAAATAGAGGAAAATAGATCACTAAAATGAATAGGATGCATCATGGAAGGCAACAAAACTAGAAATGAAGAGGAAAAACAAGGTTAAGGTTGAACGGTAAAATCAAAGAGGTAAGAAACTTAGAGGAAGTAAAATGAGAACTTACTATCCTGGGCAGGGGAAGATGTGGATAAAATAAACATTTCACTTTTGAAGCAGCTGATGAGGAGAAGGTTTTGTGAGCAGACACGGTTGTGCCTGGGAGGTTTGTCATCTCAGAGGTAGTTGCCAAATGGTATGACGTCGCAGAAGGGAACATTTGTTGAATTTGGGGACCAGTCTCATTCCTCCAGAAGGAGTCTGCTTTTTTGGACAAACCCACAATCTCGCATAATGGGTGGTTTCTTCTGTCTATTTTAGGTCTTCTCTTTCTTTCCAGTAAAGAAGCCAATATCAACAAGTGCTTACACAGTAGTTACTTTGTGGCCTTATTCTGCATATTACAATGCAAAGAGAACAGTCTTTGTCTGGTCAGTTGCTAGGTTACCAGAATCCTGGGAGACAGGCAACAAGAGAAATTATGTGGCCAGCTCTCTCCAGTGCATAAAGCTTTAAGATGATTATCTTCTTGTCTAGAAGACAAGCGTTGAGCAGGAATTGCTGCTGAGCAGGGAGGAAGGGTGTTCCGAGCAGAGGGAGCAGTGTGAGCAACGGCTCAGAGATGTGACGTGGCTCGAGGATTCATGGACTGCCAAGCTACCCAGTGAGGCAGCAGTAGGGCAAAGGAGGCGAGAGCAATGAGAGGACTAGATCATAGAGTGAAAAATTGTGAAAAGCAACAGGATAGTCAGGAATGAACAGTCACCATCATAAAATTCAGGCATGATGTTATTACCTGTCCTTTTAGGGCACCTTGAGCCGTTCTGTTTGACTTGGCACAACGCAGATCTACATTAGGGTTGCTCTAATTTCCCCAGGCTCAGTAGCAGGTCATTTCTTGAGGACTAACTTGCAGACACAGTGTCTTGGTGTAAGCACGCAAGGGTTCCAGATGAGAGACCGTGATGGGAAGTGGTGGTCGTAGTGGAACCAGGCTGCCTGGCTTCACTCCTGGGTCTTTCTACCTATTGGGAATGTTTCTTGGGCAAAGTACTTCACCTTACTATGCTTCAGTTTGCTCATCTTAAGGAGGGGCAAATAGTACCTGGAACTATTTTGGAAGAGTAATCTCAACTCATAGGATGATCATGAAGATTAAGTTAGTTTAAAAGCACTTAAAATAATGTTTGGCACAAGTAGTGCTTAAATTTGCTTTTTCTAAAATTATTACTATCATCACTATTCTTGTAAGAACCAACTACTGGAATCTTTCATTAACCCACAATATATAGAACAAATATAACCCACAATCTTTAGAGTTCACCTTTGAGAATGTTAAAACACCATTTCATATAATAGCTGTAGTGAAGAATGGATTCATGATAAAATAATAAACTAAGCATAAATATTTTGATGTGAAAGAAATTAAAAACTCTGGTAAAGGGAAATGGCTGTAACTAAATCAGTGAAATAAATTTGAAGACAGACAGTCAGCAAAGAAAAAAAATCATGATTTGCATATACCTCTGGAACCAGTTGGCTGAACAGTAAAGAATTTGAATTTGGATTTAAAAGTGTGTAGAACTGAGGGGCTGGTCCCGTGGCTGAGTGGTTAAGTTCGCGTGCTCCACTGCAGGCGGCCCAGTGTTTCGTTGGTTCGAATCCTGGGCGCGGACATGGCACTGCTCATCAAACCACGCTGAGGCAGCGTCCCACATGCCACAACTAGAAGGACCCACCACGAAGAATATACAACTATGTACCGGGGGACTTTGGGGAGAAAAAGGAAAAAGAATAAAATCTTTAAAAAAAGAAAAAAGTATAGAACTGATTCCAGTGATCATTCAGCTCTGGCGTTAGGTACTAGAAATGCAGTGATGAACGAGACATGGTTCTCAAGAAGGTGACAGACTCACAAGGAGTATAAATAATAAAGAATTACAATATGAAAAGAGCTATGGTAGAAGTTAGTTGGGGCAGCAGGAGAACACTTAACCCAGTTTTTTGATTGAGAGATGTCAGGAGCTTCAAGGAAGAAGTGGCATCTAAGATGAAACTGAAGGATGAGTGGGTGGGAGGAATGGCAGGGTCCCTGGTCAAAGTTGAAGTAAAGTGATGCATGGAGCCTGCAGTGCTAATGTAATTTAAGTCTCTGAATGGACACTACATGAATTCAAATATGGCTTGAGAATAGTGCAAGAGTGAACAGCGTCCTGATAGTGACAGATTTTAAAAGACTGTTAGCCATGTGAAGGGGCTTAGACGTTATAGTGAGGGGAATGGGGAGCCATTGACAGGCATCTGACTTGGAAGAACATTGGTCACTCTGTCATATCAATATTATTGTAGTTGCAATGTAAGAAATTGCTGAAGTAGAAGTGACATTATTTTAAGTAGAAAAAATGGCCCCCCCTACAAAATAAATCCAAAGTAAAAAATTTATCTAAAAGCGTAGCAATGTAGTACCTTTACTACAGGGATATATTGGACAAACAGCTACCTCAGGGTGCTTCTGAGGGACTGCATGATCCATTGATCAGTGAAGGAAGATTGAATTATATAAAATAATGTCCATGAAAGCAAAGTGTTTTTCATGTAAGCCTGTCAAAATAGTACACTGTGATATTTAAATGGCTTCTATTCACTTATAAAATTCTCAATTCACCAATATGAAAGATATGAAATATCTTACATTTTGAAGGACTTCAGTCCATCTTTATTTTGATCTGTGAAATCCATGATGCTTATTTAATCACTGCCTCTTAGCGTAGCATTTGTTGAGCACCCGCTGGGTAGAGAGTGTAGTAGAAAAAGAAGGCATGTGATCCCTGAGCTCTCGGAGCTCGCCTTCTGAGAGGAGACTGAGCCTGCAGTGCCAAGTGATCATGAGTTTGTGTTTCAAACTGTGGAGGGTAATCTCAGCAGAGTGGTATATACTATAGAGACTTCTTTGAGGAGATGTGAGTTTGGGAATGAATTTAGAAAAAAGTGGGGAAGGATGCATACCTATAAATATATTATAAACCAAAAACATTGATTTTGTCTCTTCAATTTACCCATGAGTGAAAATTAAGCTTATTCCCCAAGAAACCAAAAGCTAATAAGATGTTATTAAAAACAAGCAAGACACATCGTCCACAACTGCCACCAGTTGGGGAAAAGCATGGACAGTCATTTAACATCTTTTCAAGAATCTTTCCCTTATCCTGTACTTCTTACCTGCTGCCAGGCCACAGGCCCTGTCTGGTGAAAGAGGTGAAATGCTTTATTTTCATGTTCTTATTCTCTTTTTTCTAGATGCCTGTGGTGATCCACTAAGATACGAATCTATGAAACTGAAGGGTGTCGCTCAACCCCGTTACAGCCCTGGTGCCACAGTAGAATACGAGTGTCGTCTAGGCTACATGCTCAAGAGACCTCCTCTTCCCACCTCTGCCCGCTGTCAGGCTAATAACACATGGACACCTCTCCAGGAGGCTTGTACCAGTAAGTAAACAAAACATTTTTTGAGTTTTTTTTTTGCTCTAGAGATATTCACACATTTTACAGCACACATTCCACTACTGAGATGATCATTTTCTCATGTGAATGTAGGTTTTAGAAAGCAAGGTAGTTTTTAGGGCTTTGAAAAATCTCCAGGGAATCTTTTTCTTGGCAGCTGGTTGCCAAGGTCAATGTGAATCTTAAGTTTGGCCTTATCATAGTTAAAGAAAGTCAATAATATTCCCACAAATTGCAAAGAACAATGTAGAATTTTGATTTCGATTAAAATCTTTTGAAATTCATATAAAACAATGAATTTGAAAATTATCTTTTAGGAAAATCATGTCCACATCCAGGAGACCCCATAAATGGCAAAGTAGAATATGTTAATGGAACTTTGACGTTTGGTTCACAGATTCATTATTTTTGTAATGAGGGGTAAGTAAGTTGCTCCTTAGAGGAAATAAGGTAACTGTTTTGAAGTCCATTTTTGTCTTGCTTCTTTTCTAAAGCATGTCCATAAAGTTGATTCCATTTTGCTTTCTATGTGACAAGTTGTGCTTGTAGCCGAACAACTCCTGGGCTTTTTATGGAGGTTGAAAAGATGTGTAATTAATAGGAAGAAATTTGAATTGAAGGAAAGCAAAATTGTACACTACTATCATAATAATAAGCCTATCCCAACAGAGTGCACTCTATTTAAAACGGCCAGCTCTCAGAGTTGAAGTAGGGCTTCTGGAAATGGGAGGTAGAATTGCCATCCAAAGATACTCTTATACTGACTGAGGTAACACTGGAAGGGGCCAGCAGACCAAAATTGACCTGGTCAGTCGGGACCATAATGTTGATCAAGATGTCTTAGTTGGAAAACCTTATCTTTGAGACTGCTGCGAAGGAATGAAGCATCTCAAAAAGAGGTCCTGAGCACTTAATAATAGCCTTTGTTCTATGGGGCTCTTTTAATAGTATGTATTAGGAATACTGGGCATTTATGAAAAATGTGTGTTTAGAGGGTAAGTGTAATACACTATAGAAATGCAACTGATTTTTTAATATCAACTTTGTATCCTGTTACTTTGCTGAATTGATTTATTCTGATTTTTTTGAGATTGTGTGTGCATGTAATCTTTAGAGTTTTTTACGTATGAGAACATATCATCTGCAGACAATGATAATTTTACAGCTTCCTTTGCAATTTGGTTCACTTTTTTTTTTTTTCTTTCCAAATTGCTCTGTCTAGAACTTGCAGTACTATGTTGACTAGAAATGGTAAAAGCAGGCATCCTTGCCTTGTTCTTCATCTTAGAGGAAAAGCTTTTAGCTTTTCACCATTGAATAGGATGTTTGCTGTGGGTTTTTCATGTATGGCATTTAGTATGTTGAAGTTGTTTCCTTCTGTTCCCCATTTGTTGAGTATTCTTATCATAAAAACATAGTGAATTTTGTCAAATGCATTTTTTTTGCAGCAATTGAGATGATCATATTGTTTTTTTCCTCTATTCTGTTGATGAGGCATATTACATTGATCGAATTTCCTATGTTGAGGATGTTTCCATTCCAGGAATAACTCCCACATGCTCATGATGTATAATCCTCTTAATATGCTGCAAAATTGTTTGCTAGTATTTTGTTGAGGATTTTTACGTTAGTGTTCATCAGGCATATTGGTTTGTAGCTTTCTTTTCTTGTAGTGTCTTTGTCTAGCTTTGGTATCACGGTAATGCTGGTCTTGTAGAATGAGTTTGGAAAACTTTCTTCCCTTCAAATTTTTGGAAAAATTTGGTAAGGATTGGTATTAGTTTTTCTTTAAATATTTGGTAGAATTCGCCAGTGTAACCTGGAGGCCCAGGGATTTTCTTTATTGGGAGATTTTTGATTACTGTTTGGGTCTCCTTAGTAGTTATAGGTTTATTCAGATTACTTATTTCTTAATGATTTGGTCTTGGTAGATTTGTGTTTCTAGGAATTTGTCCATTTTATCTAGGCTATTCAGTTTTTTGGCATAAAATTTTTCATAGTACTCTCTTCATATTTTTTATTTCTGTAGAATTAGTAGTAATGTGCCCACTTAATTTCTGATTTCAGTAATTTTAGTCTTCTCTTTTTTCTTAGTCCATTTCACTATAAGCTTGTCAGTTTTGTTGATCTTTTCAAACACCAAGTTTTGGTTTCATTGATTTTCTCTGTTGTTTTTTTCTTCTCTATTTTGTTTGTGCTCTAATCTTCATTATATATTGCCTTCTGCTAGCTTTGGGTTTAGTTCTTCTTTTTCTAGTTCTTTAAGTTGTAATGTTTGGTGGTTGATTTCAGATCTCTTGGTTTTTTTAATGTAAACATTTATAGCTGTATGGTCCCCCTTGGCACTGCCTTTGCTGCATCCCATAAGTTTTGATATGTTATGTTTTCATTTTCATTTATCTCAAAGCATTTTCTAATTTTCCTTGTGATTTCTTCTTTGATCCAGTGGTTGTTTAAAAGTTTGTTATTTAATTTTCACAATTTTGTGAATTTTCCACTTTTCTCTTTGATATTAGTTCCTAACTTCATCCCATTTTGGTTGGAGAAGAGACTTTGTACAATATCCGTATTTTTAAATCTATTGGTTAATATTAATTTGTGGCCTACATAATTATGTTGTTATTTTGGTATTATATGTTATATATTATATAATTAATTGTATTATAAATTACATTAATTTGTTTTATTAATTTGTGGCCTAACATATGGTCTGTCTTGGAAAATGTCCTGTGTGCACTTGAGAAGACTGTATATTCTGTTGGATAGACTTCTCTATATGTGTCTGTGAGGTCTAAGTTTATTGTGTTGTACAAGTCCTCTGTTTCCTTATTTATCTTCTGTCTAGTTCTATTCATTATTGTGAATGGGGTTTTGAAATCTCTAACTATTATTGTAGATATGCCTATTACATAGAAGTGTGTATTTATCCCTTGAATTCTGTCACTTTTTGCTTCATATATTTTGATAGGCTGTCATTAGGTACATAAATGTTTATACTTGGTATATCTTCTTGCAGTATTGAACCTTTATTAATATATAGTCTTCTTATCTCTTGTAACTATTTTTGATTTAAAGTCTATTTTGTCTGATATTAGTATAGCCACCTCTCCTTTCTCTTGGTTACTATTTTCATGGAATAACTGTTTTCATCCTTTCACTTACAACTTGTTTTTGTCTTTGCATCTCAGGTGAGTCTCTTGTAGACTGCATAGAGTTGAATTGTGTTTTTATCCATTCTGCTAGTCTCTGTCATTTGATTGGAGAGTTTGATCCATTTACGTTTAATGTAGTTACTGAGAAGGAGTGACTTACTCTGTCATTGTGCTATTTCTTTTCTATATGCCTTATGGGTTTTATTTTTGTCCTTCATTTCCTGTATTACTGTTTTCTTTTGTGTTTAGCTGATTTTTGTAGTGAACTGTTTAAATTCTTTTGTGTATTTTCGATGTCTATTTTCTTTGTGGTTACCATGAGGATTACATTTAACATCCTATAGTTATAACACTCTAATTTGAATTTATACAAACTTAACTTCAATAAATTAGAAAAACTGCTTCTCTACAGATCCATCCCCAACCCTTCTCGATTTTGATGTCATGCTAGCCTCTACACTTATAATGGTAATACTAGCTTCTACACTAATATTATCTTTATGTTCTTTAAAAAGATTAGTCTCTGAAATCAGATAGAAAATTTGCGGTAACAGTCCATTATCATAGTAATACTAGCTTTCATAATTGCCCATATATTTACCATTGGTGAGATGTTTATTTATCCAAATGGCTTAGAGTTACTGTTGAGTCCTTTCATTTCACCTTTCAGGGGTCCCTGGAAATTTCTTGCAGGGAAAGTCTAGTGGTCACTAACTCTGCCAGTTTATTTTGTGAATGCCTGAATTTCTCCTTCACTTTTGAAGGACAGTTTTGCTGGATAGAGGATTTGGGGGCAACTCTTCCTTTTAGCACTTTGAGTATGTTGGTCAACTGTCTTATGGCTTCTGAGTTTCTGATGAGAAGTCTTCTGATAATCTTATTTAAAATCCCTTGGATGTGATGATTCACTTTCCTCTTGAAGCTTTCAAGATTCTCTCTTTGGCTTCTGAAAGTTTCGTTATTGTGTGTCTTAGTGTGGGTCTCTTTGAGTTCATCTTACTTGGAGTTTGTTGAGCTTTTTGGATGTTTATATTCATGCATTTCATTAAATTTAGGAAATTTTCAGCCATTATTTCCTCAACTGTTCTCTCTGCACCCTTCTTGCTATTTTCTCCTCCTGAGAGTCCCACAGTGTTTATGTTGATCTGTGTCTTGGTGTCCTGCATGTCCTTTAGGCTCTGTTCATATTTCTTCAGTCCTTCTTTCTGTTCCTCAGACTCAGTAATTTCCATTCTCGTATCTTCAAGTTCAGCAGTTCTTTCTTCTGCTTGCTCAAATATGCCTTTAATTCCTATAGTGACTTTTTCATTGCAGTCATTGTACTTTTCAATTCCATAATTTACTTCTGGTTTCTTTAAGGTTTCCTGTCACCTAATTGATATTTGCATTTTGTTCACACATTATTTTCTTGACTTTATACAGTTCTTCTGTTAGTTCTCAGAGCATCTTTAAGACAGTTTTTCTTTTATCTTTCAAATTTTATTGAGACCCCAGGGCCTTGGGGCTCAGTCAGGAGGCCATCCTACAGGCAAAGGAGGAGCCAGTGAAGAGGACTTATCTGACCTTCTTTTTGGGGCACGGGTGGTTCTTGTGGCCGTATGTTGTGACAGTGGACAGCACAGGGGTGCAGGCGAGCATAATACTTGCTGATCATCCTGTAGCAGTTGTTTTTCTGGGTGAGCTGGCAGAGGGAAGGCTTGATGATGCCACCCCACAGGTGAAGCACCAAGTACACTGTGGACTCTGTCTGAATATTGTGCTCTGTGAGACTGTGCCTATCCTCTAACTGTTTGCCTGCAAAAATCAGACATTGTTGAGATATGATGCCCTTCTTGTCTTGGATTTTGGTTTTGACATTCTCACTGGTGTCATTAGGCTCAACCTCAAGAATGATAGTCTTGCCCTGCAGGTCTTCATAAAGATCTGCATGTCTGCATCTGCTCTTCAGCCCCTCATTGAAGAAAAAGAAGGTGGTGGTAGTGGAAACTTCCAATTTGCCACCGAGAGCACCTGTGCAAGACACGTATTTTAAAGTCTTTATTTAGTAAATCCACCGTGAGGTCTTTTCAGGGACAATTTCTGTTGATTTATTTTTTCTTTTGAATGGACCATACTTCCTCTTCCTTTCTATGTGCTGTGATTTTTTGTTGACCTGGACAGTTGAATCTAATAATGCAGTAACTCTGGAAAGATTATCCCACTTTCCTAAGGCTTGATGTTTTATTGGTTTTGTCTTTTTATTGTTGTAGATTGTCTCTGTGCTGAGCATCAGCCTGATGTGTAAACTGGAAGGACTTCTCAAGTCTTTTCTGAGCCTTTCCGTGGGAGTGCATAGTCACTTTCTAATTTTCCTCACATATGAAATTGTCCTAGTTTTTAATGCCTGGCTCCTGTGGGGGAGAAACTTAAAAATAAAGGGGATAGCAAAGGGCACTGAATCTTTAAATCCCTTGAAAATCACTTCAGTCAGCACAGAAGGGGCTCGTAAAAGTGGGGCTAGGTGTGACAGCAATGGCTGCCCACCTCTCTGTTTGCTTCTCTGAGATCAGAAGTAGCAATCAGTGATAAGAGGACAGATCACTGATAACTACAGGACAGAGTCCTTTTTGCCCAACCTGGCTCCTACAGGCTGCTTATAAGCTGCTCCAGGGACATATGCCTGTTGAGAGTGGGGGATGGGTAGCTGCCACTGCACTAGTTGCTGAAATTGACCAAAATTAAGGCAAATTACCTGTCTAAGTCTTCCCCTGGAAATTGCAAGCTATCAACAAACTCCAGAGTTCCAAAATAGTTACATGAATCAGATTCTACCAGTACAATTGTTGTCTGGGTGGGAGACACTGGGCTTCCATCTCCTAACATATTCTAATATGGAATCAGTGAACATTGGGGTAAAAGTCAGGTGGAAGCATGTACAGGCAGTTTCACTTAATATTTTTTAACTTAATCAAGTGAAAATATTGGAACATCCAGTTAATACTCATAGAGAGTCTGCTAGGCGCTTTGAAAAATACCAAAAGTTTAAGACAGAGACTCTTCTCAAAGAAGTTGTAGCCTTCTTAAGAAACAAAATATATCCAGAGAGATGTCAAAGCAAAATAGTAAATGAGAAGTACCAAATAAATAGAATTATTCATGATCATTGCAATGAGAGTCCGGAAGGAGGAGAGGGTGCTGTGAATTTAAATCATCAGAGAAGAGTTCATCCAGTAGAATTCCTGACCTATTCCTAGAAAGACATTCCGATCTAAAGATTACGAAGAGCCAAAACCTACCTGGCCCTCACTGTGTGCCAGATGCTAACTCATCTAAGCCTCAGAACAGCCCCGTGAGGTAGGTGCTATATCCGCTCTTCATCGATGAGGAAGCTGAGCCAGAGAAACATTAGGGGACTCGCCCAAGCTCCAATACAAGTCCCTCGTGGAGCTGGGAATAGCATCCAGGCAGCAAACTCCAGGGCCTCTTCTCTCTGCTCAGTCACTGTCCTTACTGCGCAGAATGGCGTGACTGAGGACGTAGAAATGCACGTGTAATGTGATTGCCAGAGATAGAAAAGAGGCCAGACTGACAGGTATGACAGATTTATTTAGACATTTTCCTCCTGGCCAGTGTGCATTTAAATGCAGAAACTCTTTAATTAAATTGCACATTTTGTTAGCAGTTTCATTATTTTAGAAACTTCTCAAACTACATTAGTGCGGAAAAACAACCATATAAGTATTTTCTTCATTATTATTTGCATCTTGTTAACTGTAAAGAACACAGTAAATTTGTCCTTTTTCTTTAAGTTTTAACTTAATTGGAACTAAAATTCTATATTGTGAACTTGTTGGAGAAACTGTGAACTGGAGTGACAATCCCCCACTATGTCAAGGTAAGTATCTTCTCTCTTTAGAATTTACAGCAGCAGTTCTCACACTTTGTGGCCTCAGAACCCCTTAACCTTTGAAATTAACAAAGACCCCAACGAGCTTTCCTTTATGTGGGTTATATCTTGATATCCATTATATTGGAATTAAAACTGAGACTTTTTAAATAATTATTTGTTAACTTTTAAGAACAGTGAGCTCACTACATGGTAACATATGGAACAGATTTTTGTGAAAAATCAATTTTCTGAAACAAATAGAATAGTGGCATTGTTTTACATTATCACAAATCTCTTCAGTATCTTTCTGAAAGGATGACATCTGGATTCAGTCTTTTGCCTTGTCACACAGTTTGTAGCCTTCGGAGAATTTCACTATACACTCATAAGGATGAAAGTGAAAAAAGACAATACTATCTTGGTATTGTGAACCACCAATTTAGCAAACAGATATACTTATAAATTCCAAAGCGTTTGTCAACCAGCACTGAATTTTATTTTTAATCACAAGCATATTTTCTCATTTAATTGTCAGCATCTCTTGTGATGAGAACAAAATATAGTGTGGCCTTGCAGATAGACGTAGATATTTCATCTAGATATTTTATATAGATACTTAAGGAAACAAGTTTCATTTTGAAAGTTCATTTCTTTGTTAATGGTTTGAATTTAGGATAATGCAATTTCTCATAGAATCCTTGTTCTAAATGGATATTGGATGCACAGCTAGATTGTACAAATCATATGGTAATGAGTCTATCGAAGCAGTTCCTAGGACTTTACTAATGCCATCTTAATCTTTTATGTTTCCTTTTGCCTTTCATGTCCGTGTTTTCCCCTTTTTAAGTGATGTATTGTAGACCACCTCCAAAAATACAAAATGGAAAACACAGCAGAAGCGACCAGGAGGAATTTAGATATGGTGAGGTAGTAGTTTATACTTGTGATCCTTCAAATGGACCGGATGAATATTCACTTGTTGGAGAGAGCAGGCTTGTCTGTTCTGGGAATGACGTATGGAGTAGTAAGCCTCCTGAGTGTAAAGGTACAAAAAGTTCCATTTATTTTCGTCTTCATATGTAAATACTGTAGAAACACTTTGGGAATGGTTTTACCTACTGGTAAGCAGAACAGTCACATGTGCATCCTCCTACTGTTAAATTGATTTCTAATTTAACTTAATATAGGTCAAATTGAGTGAAAAATAGTTCTAGTTGCAGAGTTCCCCACCCCTCACCTCACATGTTCTTGGCATTCCAATTTTACATTGTGAACTACTGCGTATGTACACAAGTAAGGATTTTTTTCTTGATAGCATCAAAAAATAATACATACTGCCTTTAAAAGTAAGAAAGTTTTATCTTGTATTACAAGAAGTCTGAGAGTTTTGGCTGTAGGAAGTGGTAGAGTAAATTGTAAAATACTAGCTCTTTTACTGATAAGATTGATAAATGTGACAAAACATATTTATAAAGAATATTTAAGGCCCTAGAGAGTGACCAACAGCAGGGAGACACTGAGGGGATTGGACTCTTGAAGGAAGGGAAGCACTGAATAACAACAAAATATTTGCTCTTTTCAAGTGCACACAGAACATTTTCTAGTACCATATTCTAGGCAATAAGATAATTTGTAACAAATTTTAAAAATCCAACATCATTTACAGTACATTATCTGCTCACAATAAATCCAATAAAGATATCTATAAAATCCTCAAATATATGAGAATCATGGAAGAGACTACTAACCAAGAACTGAGTCAAAGAAGAAGTCACAAGGGATATTAGAAAGTGTTTTGAACTGAATAAAAATGAAAACACAACAAATCAAAATTTGTGGGGATACAGCAAAAGCATTGCATAGAGGATATTTATAGCATAAAAATACTTGTATTTGAAAAAGGGAAAAGTCTGAAATTATTAATCTGAGCTTTTACCTTATGAAAATAAAGAGAAGAACCAATTAAACATAAAACAAGGAAACAGAAGGAAATAAATAGGATAGAGAGAAATCAAGGATATGGAAAAGAGGGAAAAAAAGAGAATCAATGAAACTAACACCTTTTTCTTGAAGAAGATCAGTAAAATAAATATACCCATAGCCAGTCTGACACGAAAAGAAGAAGATATACATTACCAATATCAAGAATGAAAAAGAACATCAGTAAATATCCTGCAGACATTTAAAGGATAATAAAGGAATAAAGCAAACAACTTTATCCCTCTAAATTTGACAGCTTAAACCTTCTCCCAAAGAGAACTACAGGCCCCGTGTGCTCACTGGGATGTTCTACCGAACATTTAAGGACAAAATAAGAGCAGCTCTACACAAACTCTTCAAGAAAATAGAAGAGGAGGGAACACTTCTCAACTCCTATCATGAGAATGGCATTTCCATAATACCAAAAGCAGACAAAGTCATTGCAAGAAAGTAACAAACATCATCTATAATGAATATAGAATCAAAACTTCTTAACAATATATTAACAAGTGAAATCCTGTCATATATAAAAATTAGAATATATTGTAGTCAAGTAGGAGTTAATCCATGAATGCAAGGTTGATTCAGATTCAGAAATTAATTAGTGTAATTTGCATTATAAAGAGACTATAAAGAAAAAGTCATGTGATCCTCTTAATAGATGCAAAAAAAAAAAGCATTTAACAGAAGTCATCATCTTTTCATGATAAAACCTCTCAGCAAACTAGGAATAAAAGGAAACTATCTGAACCTGTTAAAGGTACCTACAAAAATCCCACAGCCAACGTTATATTTAATGGTAAAAAACTAATTTATTTCTGGCTAAGGTAGGAAGAAGACAAGGATGTGTATTCTCTCCACTCTATTCAGCATTGTATTGGAAGTCCTAGCCAGTACAATAAGGTGAAAGATAGAAATAAACATGCATTTCAGAAAGGAAGAAATAAAATAGACTTTGTTTACTTAGGACATGATTGTGCAGACAATTTGAAAGACTGAAGTTTTATTAAGGTTGCAAGCCATATGATCAACATACAGAAATCAATTATATGTCTATACACTAGCAATAAGCCATTAGAAATTGAAATTTTTTAAGTAGCATTTACAACAGCTTGAAAATACACAAAATACTGGAATATAAATCTAACACATGTGCAAGATTTGAATGGTAAAAAGAACTAAACACTTATGAAAGAAATTAAAGACCACCTTGATAAATAGAAATTCAGTGGTCACGGATTGGAAGACACAATATAATAAAGGTGTCAGTTCTCCTTAATTGATCTATAAATTCTACACAATCCCAATAAAACTCCCAGCAGAAATTTTTCTAGAAATTGAAAAACTAATTGTAAATTTTGTATGAAAAGCCAACAGAAGTGGAATAGTCAAAATAATTTTCAAAAATATTAGAAGACCCATTCTACTTGTGTCAAGACTTACAAAATGTACTATAAAGCATATAATCAAGAAGATGTGCTGTTGGTCAAAAGATGACCATATGGAGCAATGGAACAGAACAGAGAGCCCAGAAATAGACCCTTTCAAAAGTGTCCAGTTGGCTTTGTCACAGGCATACAAATTTAGTGGAAAAATGGTAAAATACAGGCACAATTGGACATCCATATGCAAAAAAAAAAAGAACTTCAACCTACGTTAGCACCATATATGTTTACTCAAAATGCATCATAGAGTTAAATGTAAAACCTAAAACTATAAGACTTTTAGTAGAAAACATTTGTGACCTAGCCAAAGATTTTTTAAATACAACCCTAAAAGCATGATCCTTTAAAGAAAAAAATTAATGTTAGACTTCTAAAAAACTCAAAACTTCTGCTCTCAAAAGACACTGTTAGAAAAATCAGCAAACAGAGCCACAGACTGGGAGAAAATATTTGCAAAGCACATATCTGATAATGGCCTTCTATCTACAATATATAAAGAACTCTCAAAACACAATAATAAGAAAACATCTTAATTCTTAAAAAATGGGCAGAATGTTTGAATAAACCTATTTCACTACAGGAGATGAACAGATGGCCAAAAAGTACATGAAAAGTTGCTCAATATCCCTAGTGACCACAGAAATGTAATTTAAAGCCATAGTGAGATACCCCTATGCACCTCTTAGAATGGCTGAAAGTAAAGACAAAAACGAAAAAGTAAAAATACCATGTACGGGCAAGGCATGGAGCAATTGGAACTTGCATACATTGCTGGTAAAAATGCAAAGTGGTATGACCATTTTGGAACACAGTTTTTATTTCTTATAAACTTAAACATACACTTAACACACAACTCAGCAATGCAAGTAAAATGAATACATGTTCACATAGAAACCTATATGAGAATATTCATAGTCACCTTAGTCATAATCACCCCCTGCTGGAAAGAACCCACATGTTTTTCAAGTGTTGAGTGGATAAACAAACATGATATATCCATACAATGGAAAAGACTGCAATAAAACAGAATGAACTTCTAATCCATGCAGCAACAGGAGTGAATCTCACATGCATTATGCTAAGTGAGATAAGCCATACTCAGAGGCTGTGATCCCATTATGATATTCGGGAAAAGCAACACAATAGAGATGGAAAACAGATCAGTGGTTGGCCTCATTGGGGCAGTGGTTGGAGGGTGGAGAAGGTTGATTATAAAGTGGCATGAGGAAATATTGGGGGCTTATGGAACTTTTCTGTCTTTATTGTGGTGGTAATTGCATGATTATTTGCATTTGTTAAAACTCATAGAGCTGTACTCTTAAAAGGATGAATTCTACTGTAAGTTATATCTAGTACATCTAACTTAAAGAAAATCATTAGTGCAATTAACAGCAGTTTAGCACAACAGAGAAAGGATCAGTGAACCAGAAATCAGGACAATAGAAATCCAGCATGCTTTGAAAAGAAACAGTAAAGAAAGAGAGAGAGAGATTTTCGGCTGTGGGAGAGTAACAAGCAGTCAAACATACATCTATTTGGAGTTTCAGAAAGAGAGGAGAAAGAACAGTATAGACAATTGTTTGAATAAATATGGGCCAAAAATTACCAAATTTGATCGAAAACAACAACCCTACAGCTCCAGGAAATTCAGTGACCTAGCAGGATAAATAATTTTTTTTTAAGATTTTATTTTTCCTTTTTCTCCCAAAACCACCTGGTACATAGTTGTGTATTTTTAGTTGTGGGTCCTTCTAGTTGTGGCATATGGGATGCTGCCTCAGCATGGCCTGATGAGTGGTGCCATGTCTGGGCCCAGGATTCGAACCAGTGAAACCCTGGGCTGCGGCAGCAGAATGCACGAACTTAACCACTTGGCCACGGGGCCGGCCCCTGGATAAATAAATTTTTTAAATTTTCCTAGAAACTCATTGAACTAAACATATCCTGGTAAAACTAGTGAAACAAAAGATAAAAAAGCAGCCAGTGAGAGGAAAAAAATCCATTACCCCCCCTACCTCTCTTGCCACCTGCAAGCATGAATGACAGATGACTTCCCTTAAGGAACTGTGGACACCAGAAGACAATAATATCTGCTAATGTGCAGAATGAGAAAGAAAACGCTTAAGCTAGAATTCACTGTCAAGGAGAAATCTTCAAAACTGAAGGTGAAATCAATAAAAAGATTTTCAAATAAACGAGAGCTAAGAGAATTTGTCACTAGCCAACCTGCACAACAAGAATTGCTAAAGGAAGTCGCTTGGGCTGAAGGGAAATGATGCCTGATGGAAATTCAGATCCACGGGAAAGGGGAAGAGCGCTCTTCTGGCTGGAGAGGCTCAGCATCCTGCGGCCCTTGGCTGCTGCTCCGATTTGATCTCACACGATGTTCTCTTATACTCAGTGCCCACGCCAGCGTTTTGGGTTTTTTTTTTTTCCCAAATTCTGCCAAACCCATTAGTGGATCCTGAAATCAATCTAGAGGAACTTGAACAGCATTTTACTTCTTCAGAAATAGAGCGGAAGGGGAAACACCAGAGTACACTGGTGTGGAGGCTGGAGTACTAACTTGATTTCAGGCCCATGTGCTTGTGTACTGGTTTACAACGTAAAATGTGTTTCTTGATCTCTGGGCTGCAGGCCAAAATGTTCGGAAAACACTGCCCTAACTCCATTGGCCTTTCTGTTTCATGAACAGCCCAGTTCGCGTATGTTGTTACTACCTCTGAACTTTCTTTTTGCGTAACTTTGCATGGCTAGTAGCTTCTTTTCAACTATTAAATTTGAGCTCAAGTATAAAAACTCTTTCCTAACTTTCTCAAAAAGCAGGGTACTGTAATCAGTGTTTGCATGACCTTCAAAGAAATCCCTGGAGCTAAAGAGTATTAAAAGTTGCTTTTGAACTTACCTACAATTTGTATCTGGTAGTTACACCTTTCTCAAAACTTGTCAGTAATGGAAAAAAGTGTAGCAAAGCCAGTAAACTATAATGGCAGTTTATTCTCAGTGGAAAAAATGTTACTAGATTTCTCTAAATCTGTTTGCCTGGAATTAAAATGCCCACATAAAGCTGTGGGTTTTTTTTAACTTAACATCTTGCCTTTCATTCTTTTTCCTTTGTTCCCACTGGAAATTACTACTTTGTAGTAGTTTTTCTGGTGCTCTGTTAAAGTGACTTTCTATTAATTCTGTAATTTCTCCACTTTTCAGTGGTCAAGTGTGAACCTCCAGTACTCGAAAATGGAAGAGTGGTGTCAGGATTTGGAAAAAAATTTTACTACAAAGCGACGGTTGTATTTGACTGCTTACCGGGTTTTTACCTCAGTGGCAACAATACAATTGTCTGTGGCGCCAACAGTGCTTGGGAGCCTGCGATCCCGACGTGCATTAAAGGTACGGGGGTGTCTTTCTCCTTCTTGTTTTTGTTCTTTCTCAGATTTTGTTTCTTTGATGTTAAATATCAGTGATACAGAATAATTGAAAAGAAGCAATTTTACTATTTTACTCCACCTGGTATGCTCTTCCATGAGACATGTATGACATCAAATTCACAAGGAATTCTTCTGTTGTGATTTTGTTTGTTTTCATAGGGTCTTAGCACACTATGTACATCATAGAGGTGTATAAATTTCTATTGTTCAGCTTTTTTAGGTGTAAAAATGGATAACAACCATTTTGGAGAAAATTGAAGCATGGGAATTTTTAGCTAATTAAGTCAAGAATAAAAAGCATAATTCATATAAATGAAAAGAAAGCAATCATTCCCAAGTGGGTGATCCAGTCTACATTATTTTGTTTTCCAGTGCTGATTCCTGTCAGTACTGCACCTCTGCTTTTGCGTCATTCGAGTTTAGTAACTTTCTGGTTATATTTTTCAAAAATCCTTTCAATTCCTGGTGCAAATGCCAGCAGTAACTCCCAAGTGTTTGATCCAATCCACATTATTTTGTTTTCCTATGTTGACTCTTCTCGGTACAAAACCTCCAATTTCCAGTGACTCAGGTTGAATACCTTCTTGCTTATCTTTTTCAAAATCTTTTAATTTCCTGGTGATTTTTTCAAAATTCTTTAAATGTCTGATCCTTTACACTCATTTATCATTTTAGTATTTATCCTGTTGGGGAGTCTACCACACCCAGCTCATATTCTTTGTAGTTATGTCTGGTGATAGCCCTCTTCCTGGAGCAGGCCCGCTATCTAAATTCTGATCTTGTTTATAATATTTTATTTAACTGTTCTCCTATCAGTGCTCATTTGTACCTGTAGAAGTTTTACATTAATGGGTAGTTGGATGTATTGGCCTTTTCCCTAAAGGCTATGAGTGTTGTTTTTTTCTTATAAAGTTTTAGGTCTTCCCCATGCTAAGTTATGTAAACATTTCAACCATGTGTTCTGATTGCGTTCTTTGCGTTTAAATCATTGGTGCATCTGAAAGTCCTTACGGTATGTGGAATGAGATAGGGTTCCTCTCCACTCTCCCCACCCCCATCCAAAGGCTAAGTGCACATACATTGCTGAATAAGTTTTTCTCTCCACCTGTTTTGAATTGCCAATGTTTATTGTACATTAAATTCATAGGTGTTCCATTCATCTTCCTGTTCCCTTGAACTCTGTCCAATCCTATGCCAACACCTAATTCTTTTTTTTCATTGTAGTTCTATGATATGTTTTAATATCTGCTAGAACACTTCCTTTTCAGAAATGGTCAAGCTACTTTTCCATGTTCATTTTTCAAGATCAACTTTTATTTTTTTTACCATTTTAACCCTTTTAAGTTACATTTCAGTGGCATTAAGCACATTCACGTTGTTGTTCAACCATCACTACTGTCTATCTCCAAACTTTTTCATCATCTCAGACTGAATCTTTATACCCATTAAACAATAATTTTCCATTTCTCCAAACAGATAACTACTATTCCACTTTCTGTCTCTATGAATTTGTCTATCGTAGGTACCTCATAGAAGTGGAATCACTTCTGGCGTATTTCACTTAGAATAATGTGTTCTGGTTTATTTCATTTAGTGTAATGTTTTTAAATTTCATCCATCTTGTAGTATGTACCAGAACTTTATTTCTTTTTATGGCTGAATAATATTCCATTGTTTGTATATACCACATTTAGTTTATCTATTCATCTGTTGACAGACAGTTCGGCTGTTCCCACCTTTTGACTAGTCTGAATAATGCTTCTCTGAATATTGGCATTCCAGTATCTGAGTCCTTGTTTTCAATTTTTGGGTCTATATACGTAGGAGTAGAATTGCTGGGTTATATGGTAATTCTGTGTTTACTTTTTAGAGGAAGAACCATCCTGTCTTCCACAGTGGCTATGCCATTTTACATTCCCACCAGTGATACACAAAAGTTCCAGTTTCTCCACCTCTTTGCCAACACTTGTGATTTTCTGTTTTATGTTAATAACCATAGTAATATATGTGAAGTAGTATCTCATTGTGGTTTTTATTTGCATTTGCCTAATGATTACTGATTATTTTTTCATGTATTTATTGGTCTTTTGTATACCTTTTTTTGGAGAAATGTCTGGACAAATCCTTTGGTCATGTTTGAATTGGGTTTGTGGTTTCTTTTTTAGTTTTAGGAGGTCATTATATATTTTATATAATAATCCCTTATCAGATATATGACTTGAAGATGTTTCCTCTCATTGTGTGGATTGCCTTTTCACTCTATTGATAGTTTCCATTGGTGCACAAACTTTTTAATTTTGAAGAAGTCCAGTTTATCTATTTTTTCTTTTGTTTCCTATGCTTTGGTGTCAGATCAAAGAAATCATTGCCAGATCCACCTTCATGAAGCTTGTCCTCTGTGTTTTCTTGTAAGAATTTTAGTTCTAGGTAAAATTTTGTTTTAAAATTATAGTTTTAGCTCTTAAATTTAGTGCTTTGACCCATTTTGAATTAATTTTTGTATGTTGTGTAAGGTAGGGATCCAACTTCATTCTTTTGCCTATGGATATCTTGTTTTCCAAGAACTATTACTTGGAAAGACTGCCCTTTCCTTGTTGAGTGTTTTTAACACCTGTGTGGACAATCGTTTGACCATATATGTGAGGTTTAATTTCTGGACCCTCTGTTCTATTCCATTGGTCTGTCTGTCAGTCTTGTGTATCTTGTTTGCAACTCTCTGTGCTTCCTGGAGCTGTATATCCATTCCGTTCCCCAAGTTAGGGAAGTTTTCAGCCATTATTTCTTCAAATACTTTTTTTGCCCTTTTCTCTCTTTTTTTCTTCTGGGACTCCTATAATGTGAATGTTTATCCTTTTGATGTCATCCCAGAGGTCCCTTAAACTATCCTCATTGTTTTAAATTCTTTTTTCTTTTTGTTGTTCTGATTGGGTGATTTCCACTACCCTGTCCTCCAGCTCACTGATCTGTACTTCTGTGTCATCTAATCTGCTGTTGAGTCCCTCTAGTGTGTTTTTCATTTCAACTATTGTTTCTTCAGCTTTGATTGGTTCTTTCATATATTTTCTAACTCTGTTGACATTCTCCACTATGTTCATCTGTTCTCCTCCTGAGTTCTGTGAGCATCCTTACAACCATTACTTTGAATTCTTTATCAGGTAGATTACTTATTTCCATATCCTTTAGGTCTTTTCCTGATGTTTTTGTCTTGTTCCTTCGTTTGGAGCATATTTCTTTGTTTTTCTATTTTGCTTGGCTCTTTATTTCTTTGTATTAAGGGCAAGTGCTACCTCTCTCAGTCGTGAAGTTGTGGCGTTGTGTAGGTGATGTTCCTTCCCATTCAACCCTGTCCTAGCTCTTGGTTGGCTCTTGAACCTATGTGGTTGTCTAAACTGCCTGATTTGTTCTTGATGTGCTCCTGTTGTTGAGGGTGTGCCATGACCTGTCAGTGTGCCTGGGGGAGCAGTCTCACTTAGCACCTAGTTTGAGTCAGATTGAAAGCCAGGCCCTTGGGCAGCAATTTTTAAAGTATGAAAATATATATAGTCGTGTGGGGTCACAGTCATAGTCTATGCTGGCCTCCAGCCCAGAGATTTGGAGGTGTCCCCTGGGCGACAGTTGCAAACATCAGGGCTCCTGACAAGTGTATAAGTTCCTTTCTGGGGAGTCTCATTGAGCTTTAGTGAGGCCAAGGAGGTGTGTAAGGATAGTGTCTACCTGCTTATTTTCCCTAGGAGCTCCTCCTTAACCTCTAGAAATGTAGGAAACCTGAAGCCTGTCCCTCAGGATTATGCTCCAGGCTAAGTAAATATACCTTTTACACAGGAAGGCTGGGGTTGTGTTTCAGTCTGCTGTATGTGCAGTGTCCTGTGGTGACGGCCTGCCAAGAACTGTCTTTCCGATTGTTACAGTCCCCTGGAGCTCAGGAACGCCAACCCCCTGGCCACCAGGGCCAGGTAACCAAGGAGTTTCCATTGTGTTGATGGCACATGCCCACTGACTTTAGCTAGGCCAGTTGAAAGTGTAGGGGGCAGGGCTTGCTCTCTGGCTTCAGAAAAGGCGGTTGGAAAAAATGACTTGAATGCACGTGCCTGCGGGCTTCAGCAGTGCACCAGGAGGGCGCCTTGTCTCTGCTCTCATGTTGGGTTGAGGCTGGGAGCCATAGAATATGGGGCAGGGGAGTGTCACATCAGTTTTTGGCTGGTAGCCTGGTAGCCAGGTAATCCCTCTATGCTTGTACTCTTCAACTATAGCCAGGGGGACAGGGAGTGTCCTAGCCACCCAGCTTGCAGACTTCAGCTAGGGAGCAGGAGAATGCTGCATTCCTTTTCACCTGCCCTCCCCAGCCAGAGAGCAGGGGAATGCTGCAACCACTGTATTTCCCCCTGCTTAGCAAGGCAACAGCATGGTGCCACAACTGCTCGCCCCTGCATCTGGGCTCACCTCCCTGTGCTGGCAGGTTTTTAGCAGGGAGCACAATGGCCTCCAGAGCACCTCTGTCCCCAGCTGGTGTTTCCACTGTCCCCCACCCCTCCACTCATTGCTTTTAGATTTGCAAATGACTCTCTTTCACATATAGTCTTGGCACTTTTAAAACTGCTGTTATTTCCCAGTGTCTCCAGGTGAGTGAGATTGCACATGAGCCCTTACAGAGGGGAATCTCAATTTCCTATAGCACTTTGAGACCCTTGGTCATTGGTACCATTGGTTTCCTAAGCCAGACGTTTTGGGGGCTTTTCTCTCCAGTGCAGATCCCCAGGGCTGGGATGCCTGATGTGGGCCACTGACCCCTCCCTCTTTTAGGAGAAGCACCTGTCTGGTGAGAGACCTCCCTATTGTGTGCTGCCACACTGCAGTAGCGGTATTTGGCAAGAACATTTCTCTGCCTCTCCTAGGCGTCTCAATGTGGTCATGTTTCTCCCGTGTTGTGGAACAGGTGCTCCACTAGCTCTGTTTCTTTCAGGTAGAATTGATCCATATGTAGTTTATGTATTGTGCCCATGGGAAAAGATAAGTTCGGGTTCTTCCTTTACGCCATTTTGAACCCCCACCTCGGATATATCTGCAAAAGGACATTGCATAGGAGGGCCTGAAGCTGGCAGAGCGTAATTATAGAGCCCAGCAAGATGAGCCTTATGTCTGAGCCTTATTTTCTGTCCTTGGTGCTTCTGTTAAGTTTATTTCCTGGCTTTTAGTATTTATGTGTGTAACCTGTATATTCTGGGCTTAGAGATGAAGCCAGAGTGCTCTCTGTAAATGTTGTATGAAAAGAGAAGCTAAAATAAGCAGCTGGGTGTTTAAAGAATTTTCTGGGGAGAGTGGAGGAGTTTTGGGAGCTGAGGGAGTTTGCTGAGGAGATGGGGCCAGATTTTAAGGAGGGGAATTTATGTTGGATGGGGACTTTAATTTTTCTTCTAAGTCTAATTTGTGGTCTTCATCTTATTAAGCGAGTTCTTAAGGCTAGCCTTTATACTTCTTTGTATCTACCTTTCAATTTGGACTTTGTGTAGGTACCAATAAGACAATTGCTTAGGATGAGAGCTCTCTAAAAAAAATTTTTTTTAAATGTAGAAGTTTTTCCAGTTCAAATGATTCATCTTCTGGCCGTTGATGAATAGGATCTATTAACCTCAATAGCAGGTAAAACCAGTAAGCCTTTTATGGCTTATCCATGGATGCAAGAGGCATCCCAAACTAGGGTAGAAAAGATGCAGCCCTCACAAGATCCAGAAAGTTCCTTCTCAAAATTAGCTTAAGACAGCAAAGACCTTTGTTGCTATAGGCAGTAAGAATGGTGTATGAAAATGGTGTCTGGTTTCCCATGAAAATGTGAGACGTGTCCAATCACAGACCTGCTGATGTGGGACACTGGGCAGACACTAATGGAATGAGACTTTTTCCAGCACTAACAAAACAATGAAGTTTGAGACAACAAAACCTCTTATGGATGGGACCCCTGATGACAAACTCCCCTGAGAACTGGCACAGAGAGTGCCGCTTGTAACTTCATGTCTTGGAAGCCCTCTATTTGACTAGCTACCAAGATACACATTGGGGCATGCACCTTCCACCTGGTGGAGACCAGAGAGAATATTCTCACTGATCAGAAAGCCAAGCTCTCAAGACAGAGAACAAGATGAAAGGAAAACCTCATCTTACATGCACATTAACAGCTTTAGCTAAGCCTTGGGTTTCTTGAAGTCAAACTAATGTTTCCAAGATATCCCTTAGCAACAGCGTTTACTTCATATGCACATTAACCCACAGCAAAGTTTGTCTAAATAGACACCAGTCTGGGGAGAACTGGGAATTCACCAGTCTGTGAGGCTGGCTGGAACAGCAGGCTTATAGGACCTATGCCTGTGTTCTGCCTTATCGTTTCAGTTCTTATGACAAACACCACAGCAGACAGAGATAAAGAAAAATAGTGACTGTCTCTGGGAGGAAAAGGATCAATAAAAACTGAGAATACTTACAACAAATCTTTACCTGAGTTGCTATACCCAAGAAACTAGTTCCAAAACTATTTTCTCCTGCTGCTCTAAATGGAGAAAAGGCAAAAGCACTGACCACTCTTGTTTGCACCAGACCCTGCAGGTAGAGATCTGGGAGACTGACATGGTAAGAATTCTTACGTTCCGCCATCGCTTGTCAGGGGTCCCAGGATCTCTCAGCTGCAGCAGCCCCGGAGTGAGCATCGCCCCACCAGTGAGGTATCTCCTGCCAACTACACCGACTGTTGGGGAGGAATAATTTTGCTTATACCCTTCTAGGTTCTCTGGCTGGTCTGATAATCAAATAAACATAAGACAGATTAACAGGAGAAAAATAAATTTAATTACATATGTACGGGGACCTCATAGGAATTGAGACCCACAGGCAGTCAGGCAATTGAGGCTCATGTGCCATCCTGAGCTAAGAAGAAGCGGGTAGGGGACTGGGACTGCACCAGGGAGGAGGACAGTTTACGGGAAGATGGGAAGGGCACATGCTTGCAAACCAATGATTGCCGTGCCACGCAGAGACTCAAGGACACACAGAAGGCTTTGAACAAGCAGGCCTTGCTCAGTGCCCCCGGTCTGCCACACCTAGCTCACATTCTTTGGAGTTATCTCTGGTGACAGCTCTCTTCCTGAAACAGGCCCTCTGTCTAAATTCTTTTAAGCAGTTAAGGGGCAAGTAAAAAGAAAAGTTTCCCACATCTTCTGTTTCTTAAATGAATTAGCCTAAAATAATCCTCATGCCAAAGAGACACATTTTGGGGTGGCAAATTTTGCTCCCCCACACTACCCCCCACCCCTCCCCACTCCATGTAATTATTCTTTTTCTCTTTACTGGACAGTTTGCTTTGGCAACAGAAACTGAATTTCATAGCACTTGAAAGGCAGGAAAAGTCCTTTTTTGTTGAAGTGAAATGGAGGCTTTCTTGCAGGGACTCTGATCAACTGCTGCGCTTAAGACTTGAGAGATGACTTTGAGGTGGTGGAAGCAGCCGTCTTCCTGACTGCAGTGCTGCTGTCTCTGGCTTCTCCTTGGTTGCAGCAGAAGCAGGAGACAGCAGGGGCAGTGGGCGGAGCCGTGGCCTGGGCAGATCTCGCTCAGGCTCCTAGGCTGGCTCTGCTTACTCAGGGAACACCATTTCTGTGGGCTGGAGTTGCCCCTTGTTTAATAAGACTGTTGAACTCGAACAAATCTCAAGTACTGGATTCTAATTTGTGTATTTCCCATGTCCCTGATATTTAAAGGATTGAGGGGAATTATGCATGTCAATATGGTAATTAGAACGCCTTTTTATAATTCCCGTAACCTGGTACCTGGCAGCCCCCTGGAGTACTAGGTAGATCTGATTGTGCTGATATCAAAAATGTCCATGAAATGCTAAGTGGAAAAGAAAAGGCTATAAACTAACTAGTGTGATACTACTTGGGTGGGAATTTCTTTAAAAAACTCACACGTTTACTCTGAACGCATTAATTTTATGATTTATTATTAGTTAACTGGTAGGCTTTCCATCATAAAATACAAAGCTATAGTGAACATTATTATGCATACATTCTTATGTGCTCGTGGAAATATATGTTTAGGTTAAATTCCCAGAAGTGGAATTGCAATATTAGAAAGTATGTGTATTTTCCGTTTTGAGAAATAATCTCTTTAAAAAATCAAAAATCAAAATTAAATTCCTAATTTTGTATCGATAAGGGTGGTGAATTGAATCAAATTTATTTTTCCAGGTACCAAACCTGCTGTTACAACCAAGCCGCCTCGGGTGTCGAGTTCTCCAGGTTCAATAACTTTCTCCTACTTCTCTCATTAAGAGCTTGATAAGATGATGGCTGAAAAATGATGTCGTATATTCGTCTGCATTTCTTTATCAAGGAAGCTGAACTTTTTTTGGTCTACGTTTATTTGTTCATGTCCTTTGCTCATTTTTCTATTTAGTTTCTAAAATATTTTTCTATGATATGGATTGCTTTTTATAACTTTTAATTATGTAAGTATATGAATATAAATTTGTAAAATTTTAAACTTTACAAAAGTATACAGACCAAAAGATGAGTTCTCCTTCTCTTTCTCTCGTCCTTTACCCGAGTTAATCACTAAATAGTTCAAGGTGTCTTTTTATGTATTTGTGTACATTTACATCCTTATATGTGTAGTTAAACATATTTTGGCATTTTTTCTTTTTTCTTAACCAAAAGTGGCATCATGATGTTCATATTTGTCTGAAACTTGGACTTTTTCAACTTAATGACTTGGGTTGTATGTAGATATATTCCCATCCTTTTTAGTGATGACTTTAATATATATTATATTTCATTTAACTATTCTCCCATCTGTGGTGATTTGTATATGTAGAAGTTTCACGTTAATAAGTAGTTGGATGTACTGATCTTTTCCCTAAAGGCTATGAGTGTTGTGTCTTTCTTATTAAAAGCTGTAGGTCTTCCCCATGCTAAGTTATATGAACATTTCAACTGTGCATTCTGATTATATTCTTTGCATCTAAATCATTGGTACATCTGAAAGTCGTTATGGTACATGGAATGAGATAGGGTTCCTCTCCACTCTCCCCACCCCCATCCAATGGCTAAGTGCACCATTTGTTGAGTAAGTTGTCTTCTGTCCACCTGTTTTAAAGTCCCAATTTTTTTTTGTAATTAAATGAAACAAATTTTTTCAGGTTTATTTAGATATAATTTCCAAATAAAAGCTGTTTCTATTTCAGTTGTACAGCTTGATACCCTGTATCACAATGTTGTATACATTGTGACATAATTAAGCTAATTGACACATTCATCAACTCACAGTTACTATTTTTTTGTGTGTATGTGGTGAGAACACTTAAGATCCTCCCTCTAAGCAAATTTCAAGTCACAATAGTATCTTGTTAACTATAGTCACATGTAAAGTCCCAATTTTTATCATGCACTAAATTCATAGGTGTTCTAGTCATCTTTCTGTTCCCTTGAACTCTGTCCAATCCTATGCCAGCACCTGGTTTCTTTTTTTTTCTGTAGCTCTATGATATGTTTTAATATCTAGTAAAACAGTGCCTTTTCAGAAATGTTCAGGCTACTCTTCTATGTTAATTTTTCAAGATCGACTTTTATTTTTTTACCATTTTAACCCTTTTAAGTGTACACTTCAGTGGCATTGAGTACATTCATGTTGTGCAACCTTTGCTGCTATCTCCAAAACGTTTTCCTCATCTCAAACTGACCCTTTACACCCACTAAACAATAACTCCATTCCCCAAGCCCTGGTAACCACTGTTCTGCTTTCTGTCTCTATGAATTTGACTGTCATAGGTACCTCATACAAGTCGAATCACTTCTGGCTTATTTCACTTGTTTTTAAATTTCATCCATCTTGTAGCATATGTCAGAACTTTATTTCTTTTTATGTGTGAATAATCGTCCATTGTTTGTATTTAGTATTTAGTATTTAGTTTATCCATTCATCTGTTGATAAACAGTTGGGTTGCTTCCACCTTTTAGCTATTCTGAATAACACCTCTCTGAATATTGACATTCAAGTATATGAGTCCTTGTTTTCAATTTTAGGGGGTATATACATGGGAGTATAATTGCTGGGTTATATGGGAATTCCGTTTACTCTTTGAGGAACAACCGTGCTGTCTTGCACAGTGGCTGCACCATTTTACGTTCCCGCCTCCCACCAGTGAAGCACAAAGTTTCCAATTTCTCCACCTCTTTTCCAACACTTATTATTTTCTGTTTTTTGATAATAACCATCCAAATATATGTGAGGTAACATCTCATTGTGGTCTTTCTTTGCATTTCCATAAGGATTAGGGGTTATCTTTTCATGCACTTATTGGTCTTTTGTATGTCTTGATTGGAGAAATGTCTGGACAAGTCCTTTGCCCATTTTTGAATTGGTTTGTTCTTTTGTTATGGAGTTTTAGGAGGTCATTATATATTTTGGATATTAATCCCTTATCAAATATATGATTTTCGGATGTTTCCTCTCATTGTGTGGATTGCCTTTTCACTCTATTGATAGTTTCCATTGGTGCACAAGCTTTTTAATTTTGAAGAAATCCAGTTTATCTATTTCTTCTTTTGTTGCCTGTGCTTTTGGTGTCACATCCAAGCCAAGAAATTGCCAGATCCAACATCATGAAACTTGTCCTATAAGTTTTCCTCTAAGAGTTTTATGGTTTTAGCTCTTTTAAGTTTAGTTCTTTGAGCCCTTTTGAATTAATTTGTGTGTGTAGTGTAAGATAAGGGTCTAACTTCATTCTTTTGCATGTAGATATGCAGTTTTCCCAGAACAATTTGATGAAAAGACTGCCCTTTCCTCATGGAATGTTCTCAGCAGCCTTGTGGACAATCGTTTGACCACCTATGCGAGGGTTCGTTTCTAGGCCCTCTCTTCTATTCCATTGGTCTGTCTTATGCCAGTACCACTCTGTTTTGAGTACTGTAGCTTTTTAGTAAGTTTTAAAACCAGGATGTGTGAGTCCTCTCAACTTTACTCTTCTTTCTCAAGATTCTCTTGACTATTCCTAGTCCTTTGAGATGTCATATGAATTATAGGTTGGATTTTTCTGTTTATGCAAAATTCATATTCAAGATGTGATAGGGGTTGCATTTACTATAGATTTCTTTTTATGGTATTAACATCTTAACAAAACTAAGTCTTCCAATCCATGAACACAGGATGCCTTTTCACTTATTTATGTCTTCAATTTCTTACAGAGTGTTTTGTAGTTTTCAGTATATGAGTCTTTCACTTTCTTGGTTAAGTTTATTCCTAAGTATTTTATTCTTTTTGATGCTATTATAAATGAAATTGTGTTTTACATTTCATTTTTGGATTGTTCATTGTTAATGTATAGAAAAGCAACTGATTTTTACGTGTTGATTTTGTAGCCTGCGACTTTGCTGAATTCATTTGTTAGTTCTAACAGGTTTGTGTGTTTGTGTGTGTGCGTGAGTGCACATGTGTATCTCTAGTGTTTCCTATGTAAAAGAATGTGTCATCTGGAATAGGGATCATTTTGTTTCTTCCTTCCCAATTTGGATGCTTTTTATTTCTTTTCTTGACTAATTGCTCTGACTAGAACTTCTATTATTATGTTGAATAGAAGTGACAAACACAAGAATCCTGTCTTGTTCCTTATCTTAAGAGGAAAGCTTTCAGACTTTCACCATTAGTATGATGTTTGCTATGGGTTTTTCATAAATGGCCCTTATTATGCTAAACTTTCCTTTTATTGCAAATCAACTTATCAAGCCCTCCTTTATCTTTTAATTTTAAGGAAAATCACATTGAGTCCATATGCTAATTTTGGCAGTACACTAATGATAAATTTGCTGGCTGTACAGCAGAATTGTCACAAGAAATGTTACTGCATAGGGAGAAGAGTGCTGGTGATGTTAAATGAAACTTTATAATACTTTGTGATACTACTTTTGCTAAGAAGCATTAATATAATTTATATATGAATGTGAAGTTATAAGGGTTTTTGTACAAAGGCAAAAAAAATCAAACCTATGAATTTCGCAGTCTTAAGCCTCATTATTTTTTCTTCTTCTTCTTCTTTTTTTTTTTTTTTACTTATTTCCATTTCCACTTTTTTCTTTTTTTCTAGGACATCCCAGTTGCAGTTTTGAATCACCACTGCTTCAAAACATGAAAACTTTAGGTATTATTTTGGTTATGATAACCTGCATTATGAGACCTTAAAGTTCTTCATGGAAATACCATATTTCAACTTTCTGTAGTTAAGGAAGTAACAACATGTCACAGATTGGTGATAATTGACCTTTGTAGTTATTTTAATAGTGCAAATACCATGACAAATGGAAGCAGTAGTATGTATAGCCACATGTAGATGATACATTTCTTAAGAGCTGCCCCAAATTAGGATTCCTAGCAGGTGAGGTAACTTTCTTAAATGCAAGGGTTGTATGTAGGTTAAAATATATAAAACATAACTTACTTTCCATGTGATAGTGTTATTTGGGGATGGCAATTTGTAGATAAATTTTCTTTCTAGTCGTACCTTATATCCACAAGCCATAAAATACTTTAAGTTGGGTGAATTTTTTTCTATAACAGGCTGGTGTAGCACACGTTATGTAGGCTCACATAGTTCACACAATTTGTGTTATAGAAAATAATGAAGTGTAGTTGTGACAGTTAAATAAAATACAAAGATTTCTTGATAAAGAAATGAAGAAAAATATCTATTACTGTTATTTACATTAGACAAATTTATTAGTAAGATTAATCCTTTTATAAAATGCACTGTAGGCTTGTTATATTTGCCCTCTGAACACTGTGGTCAAACTGTGCCTGTCACTCCAGTGCCATCTTAAGATGTGAAACACTTGAAAATTTTTTCTTAAATGAAAACAGCAGAATTAAACAGGACATTTTATGCTTCAATTTAGAGAAAATTAATAGAATAATGGCAATTTAGAAGCAGTGGTACTACTGACAAACATTTCTATGAATTAAGATTTTGTAGTAGTATTTATTGCTCTCTGGATAGTTAGAACATGTTCACTTAAATGCATGTTTAAGTTTCTAGGCACAGTTTTTACCCACGTGCCTGGTGTTTCATTTACATTCTTAGAAAGAATTGCCTTGGTAATTTGGACTATATCTTAATTTTTTGTTGAGGGGAATAAGGAGGGGTTGATGATATGATAAAGTATTGTTTGTGAAGACACTGCAGATTGCATCTGTGTGTTCAATTAATGGAACTTTATTTATGATTTATTCCACAGACTCACTTTTGGGGAAAAAATATAAATTTAATTCCTAACAAAATCATAAGAAATGATGGAATGACTACTGAACTAAACCAACTATAATGGGATAATACATTTTTAAACCAATTTTCCTTTAAACTAGTGAATTCTAGTTGTTCTGATAACCTTTACTAAATATCCTGGTGTGGTAGCTACAGCGTAAAACCAGGAAAAGTGAGGTGCCTATGAGGAGTTTCACAAGGTGGATCTTAAACCTGAAATCTGATTAGAAATGTTCTGTGATCAAAATGACCCAGATGCATTAGCCGTCACCCTAAAACTAGATTGATAAACTTCTCTTTGCTGTAGTTTTTAGATGATCTCATGAAAAGTAAAATGCTGCTACTGTCTGGAGACCCATATGTACTAGATTATCTTCAGACTGTTTTCGTTGTTTTTCAGGTGGAGGAATTGTTGCTGTGATTGTTGTTACTGTACGTATCCCAAACTTTGATACTACTCAAATCAAAATATTACTGTGAAGAAGTGCATTATTTTCTTAATGATTTTTCAGTTTCTGTAATTCTTATAGCTTGACATAAAGTGAACCAGAAACGTGAGCTTTTATGTGATATACTACCTTGTGTAGGTGACTGTATATTCTTTTATATTCTAGATGTCCACTTAGTAACAAACCCTAAATAACACATGTTTTGTCAAGATAATCGGTCATATGAGTTTGCTCCCCAAATATGCTCTGGGTCACCTTCTCAGTTAAGCAGGGGCTTTTCTCCGACCTACTGTGGATGGTCTGTCATTCCAGGGGACTGGGCTGAGATCGTGGAGAGTCCAGATGGAACAGAAACGTTCATGTGATTTAAAAGCTTTTCTGACCACTGAAATGTAACCAACATTTCTTTCTTCTGCTAGATTTTGATTCTTGGTAATTAGTTTTCACTCACATGTCACTTGTTTCCTGGTTTGCTGTAGCTGTTGATGTTGCAGTAATTGGCGCCAGCCTGTGTAAATGTCTTTGCACCGGGAAGAGACGGTAAATTAAAGCATGCTTTTCTAACTTACTGGTTCTTCTCATTCTTGACATGCTTTTTTGCAGCTTTTGTTTGTACTCTGTATTGCATGCCTTCTCTTTTAAAAATGTGCCTGCATGAGTGTTCCAGATGAATTGCATTTCTTTACTAAAAATATGTTCAGCTGCTTTTAATATAATTGTAACAAGCGTAACCTGTGCAGAGTTGCTTCCACTGTTTTCTGTGTAAGAACAATTTCTTTGGTATTTAAGGTTTAAGTTCTGCAGGAATCATGGACCATTATGGGGCCTTGCCTACCCTAGGTATCGCCTGTTTCCTACATGGAGTAGTGGCCGAGCTTAAATCTAAAATAACTCACTGGGGAGACTTGGAGAGTTGAAGTCACGGGAATTTTCATGAGGAAAGTTCCATTTGACTGTGTAACGTAGGTAGTTGTAAGGAGCTCTGTAGTTGCCTCATTCAAATACACAATTTGATTTCTTCCCACATAGAGTTGTTATTTATCCATGTGAAACTGAGGAATTAAAGCAACACTGTCTGATTTCCCTCTTATGTTCTCTTAATTTACTAGGTTACAGTAAAACTGATGGGGTAAAACTTAAAGCTGCTGAGAAGAGTAAGATTTACAAGGCACATTAACTTTGTCTTTTTATCTATAGAAATGAAAAGGGGGAGGGGCTTAGAATAGAAAAAAAGTGCAAATACAATTCTTCTAAGGGGAATAGAGTTTTTAAACAGCAAACTTAAATTTTAACGAGACAATTTACAATTTAATGAAAGACTTAGAATAAATCTCGGAGCTCAGACCAACATTAGGGGCTTTGGAATTTCTGGGTTTTAGTGAATTTTTTTCCCCTGTTACTTTAGATATAGCTTTGGAATCAAACCCAGAAGGTTTAAGACTTTTGGTATTTGTGGTTTTATGGTATATTTTCCTTTTATATTACTCACTGGGTTTGGACTATGTAATAAAGATATCTTCTTCACTCAAAGTGCTCAAACTTTTTTTATATTATGTGATTGTTTTTGTAAAATACCCATGATTCCTTCATTTGAACCTTAAATCTTATATTTGTGGAACACATGATATGCACATTTGATTTCTCTATCACTAGTATATTTTTAAAATTACATATACACAGCAGTCTGACTAGGAAATACTATCAGTGGAATATTTTTACAGGTCCAAAATGTTTGTGTAGAAATGACCTCTCAAGAAAGTAAAACAAAATAGCTTTCTGCTCCTCACTTTCCTTCTTTGTTTAAAATATCACTGGGTCAAAATCCTTAAAGCTTCCTTGAGAATATGAATCAGACTCTCTGGCTCCCAGTTAAAGGATCCTTGAAAGCTGAGCAATGATCTGAGCTCTGTAGCCCAGACTAAAGGCTCAGCAGCGTCAGTGAGCTGAGGTTCCGTTTCTAATGCGCTCCGAACGCTGCTGCTGCTGGGCCTGGACGACACTTGAAGTGTCCCGGGTGTCGACTGTTACTGATGTGCCCACATTCTTGAAATTTGAAGAAACACCGTCAGGTTCATTGTCAGTTTTTTCTCCTGCTTAAGATAATTGGATTTTTTAAAGAATCCTGATCTATGTGTATGTTTTTTAAAAAGGTATGGGCTAATTAAACTTAGCTTTATTTGCTTTCCTTTAAAAGAAGTCAAGATTTTTATTATATTCTTTGCACTATTTAATTCCAGGATCCTCCCCCCAAATTGGCTGTTGCCTGAGAAAATCCTTTACAGGATGATAGACTATGTGCAATTCCTTCTCTATTTCTGGGGTACCTCTGGAAGCAGGCAGGGTCCCAGGCACAGATAATCCCCAGTTGCTGTTAAAATTTGGTACAAAATGGATCTGATGTAAAGTATACTTATGATGATTTGGGAACACACTTACCCTGATACAGCCTTCATACCACGGTACCAAAATAGTATAAGTATTCATTTTTAAGGTCATTCGACATATTTAAATTACTTGATGAAAAATGGCCACAAGGTTAAAGTATTCTGCCATAGTTTTCTGTTTCTCGTTCTTCAGCTAAGAATGGAATAGGATCCCAATTGGTCTGAAATGCGCCCATCTACATGCTCCTTCCTTTCCCTTCCAGTGTCCTTTCTTATGTTTCTCCCACACTTTCCAGGCTTAGACTCCACAGCGCTTCCCCGTCCTTTGCTGTTTCTTGAGTCCTGTTCTGCACGTCATGACCACGTGATTCCGAAAACAGATGCCTTTAGTTTACATTAATGTTTTCACTTGTTTGCAGTTATTTCTTTCCATAAACGCATGGTTAAATCATCCCACTAAGTTCTTTAGAATTATTTGCATTACTTATGTATTTTATTACCTGTGACTAAATTGTTTTCTTTTTTTTTGCGTTAAGGTTATTTATTATTTGTTATAACTTAAACCTATTTTTAATGTTATATTAATAATGACTAATTCAATAACCTCATAATTTTTTAGCTGTCTGCGTAAATGAATGTTACACAAGTTTTTTGGATTTAATATGTATAGTGGCCAGTTGAGGTGGGGGCAAGTATAATGACATACGGTAAAAACTTGAAGGATTAAATTAACGTGAACATTTTTCTACTTGGCTCTCAAATTCATGAGCATTGAACAGACTCTTCAAAAAATTTTAAACAGAAAATTAATAGATAACAGATTTTTGTAATTAGTTTCGATAGCACATTTATCAAATTTGGATCATATACTAAGGAGGTCATATACTAAGTTTTACAGGGATCTTCTCAGGATGAAAACAAATGTGCCTGGGAAGAAACTGCACTCGCTGCAGAAGTCCAGCTGCAGCTGAGAATACATGACTTGTCATAAAAATGATGTCCAAGACAATATGACATGGATTAATATATGCTCCGTGTATTCCCTCAAAATAAGGACCCCTTCTCCTCACAGAGTCGGTTTTCTGTGAGAAAGAGTTTACATTATTCTCTTCAGGCTAAATGGTTTCAGAGGTGAACAGATTGCACAGAAATTGAGAATCTGTTCATCTGCTGGATGATCTGGAAGACTCCCAAGTTAACGTAGCTTCTTGTGCGAACTTCCTGTTTCAAGTTCCTAAGTGAGAATCAGAGAACTCTTAATCTATGAACCTCATGATCGGGTTTACCTCCATTCTCCTCTGTCATTGATTTGACCCCACTTATTAGGCCACTCTTGCTGCCTTTGGGTTTGATGTCACTATTGTATTCAGCCCCTTTCCCTTCCTCTGTTCAGCACAAATCTGATTGATGAGAGCCGCAGAGAAGGAAAATTTATTTCTCTCTGAGAAGAAATGAGACAGATTTGCTTTTATTGTTAAAAGGTGTCTGCCTCCTTCTGTGTTTCTTTTCAGAGATGTCCTTTCTTTTGAAAAATATTCAGTGAATGTTTAGACAGCAATAACCTGAGCTAAGATATGTTAGGAGGAAACATCAGAGGACACTTAGAATCCCAGTGCCTTTGCTCAGTTATTGATGTTTTCTTCTACCATTCCTTTTCTAAATGTAACATGAAGTGTCTTGACGGGTTTTGCTTTGCCTTACGCTCCAGTAATGTCTCCTCATCCTTTTATCAGACTCTACCTTCTAGCAGCTGTGAATCCAGAAGTGAGGACATTGTTTAGCAAAATCACAGAATCTGTTCATTGTAAATAGAGGGCGAAAAAAATGTCCTTTTGCAGAAACCAAAATATATTTTACTTAATTTTGTAAATGTATTCATTGTCAACTTGTAAATAACTCAGTAAAGGCATTTATCTGTTTCTCTTGACCTGAATATTTTTAGCATATGAAAGAGAAACTAACAAAAATATCCTCAGATTTTGGAATTATGAATTGCACTGCCCTAAACCCTTTAATCCCATCCACCTTCTGTCTTTGAATGAAATGAATTGGAAATCTTCCTCTACTTGTGCCAAAATGCACGTCTACATAGCTGGGAAGAGAGGGAGATGTGTATCCCACCACTTACAATGTGAGGCGCTACCCAGGTTCCAATCAAGAGTTTCACAGCAGATTCTACAAAGGCCAACAGGAAGGGCAACTTCTTGGTAAAAGCCAAGCGGTGTCTTTGATCGCAGGGGCAAAGGGAAAGACAGAACATACCAGCTAGAGTGGCAGAGCTAGAGACACCCAGCCCTGTGTGTCTGCCTGGGCTCCTAGCATTTTCTTTGAGGCTAAAGCCAAACAGGAAAGTTGTTTTCACACTGTCGTGAGCTTCAAGATGTCTGTAAAGATTTGAAGTTAAATTAATCCTGAAGTTAATATAAAATATCAGTAGTTAGTGATTGTTTCAGATTTTTATCTTCAAGTAGGTTCGTTGTTATATCAAATAAATATTTATATTAATGCTTACTTATCTTTCTCATATATTGGGTTTATATTTAAAATTCTAATTAAAGAAAAGGATTCCACTACTACAGCACGAAAAAAAACTACTGACTTTGAAAAATAGAAAAATATAGTGGTCCTGGAGAAATACTGACAGGCCTAATTATTACGTCACTCACCACAGTATTCCTTAGAAATCGCCATATTGCAAGAATAGTGCTGTGACAGTGGTGGTTCATAATGATGGGTCCCCCACAAAGAGAAACAAAGTACCCAAAAGTAACCTGGTTGGCTCTTACATTGGTAGGCATCCCTGAAGTGTCTGCTGTGGCAAGCATAACTGACTGGTCCAAATTTAGTTTTAGTCTCTTAGGGTCAATTTACTAAGGCAGGGACCAGAACCGCATTTTCCAGTGCAATAATCAATAGCCACGTGGGGCTACTGAGGACTTCAGAAGTAGCCGGTTCCGAGGAAGGTGTGGTGGAGGTGCAAAATACACTCCAGATTTCAAAGACTTAGTACAAAAAAATGTAAAATAAATAGCAAAATGTTAATGTTTTGGCCGCCTTGGGCTAAGTAAAATATATTAAAATTAATTTTTCATGTTTCTTTTACTTTAAATGTGGCTTTTAGAAATTTTAAAATTACCTATGTGATTCGCTTTATATTTCTCTGACAACACTGGACAACAATAATAGATTTTAGAAAGATAACTGTTGTTACAATGAAAGTGTGATGGAAACTTCAGTTATTTAGGAGACTCTCTTACTGGAACACAGGATTTCCTTGACAGTCACGGGTAAATGAGGTGTCATTGAACTTGAACACTGTGGGAATCGTTATGTTTTTAAAAGTTTCATCTTAGAGCCAGATTTAAAATTGTGATTTTAGGAAAATGTGTTTCTCTCCAGTCTTTGCCATTGGCTCGAAATTAAAATGAGGAAGTCTACTAGTACTTTACATGTGACTGCTCCGTTTCTTGTTTTGGAGAGAATCAAAAATATAATACAAAGTAGAATAAATGTTTCTAGAGTGAGACATGTTGAATATTTGATATTAAAAGAATCATTTTTCCTAGTTCAGGGAGTCTTAATACTATAAATACAGGTTTTTTTCAATTGTCCATTTTCTAAATGGGCTTCTGGAATTGAATTTCTGTGTCTCATTATGTTTATCTCGGACACTATCTTTTTACCTTGTCTTGTAGGGAAATAGAGGAGAGTGTTGCGAACAGAACTTAGCAGGAGAAATCAACAACTCCAGCAGAGCAGACGCACTAAATGGTTTCCACAAACCAGTGCCTCAGTTTATCTTTTGATTCTTTTAAAATGTTAAGACCCACAGTAAATTCATATAGGTACTATGGAAAACAATATGGAGGTTCCTGAAAAAATTAAAAATAGAACTACCATATGATCCAGGAATTCAGCTTCTGGGTATTATCCAAAGGAAACTAAATCACTGAGTGGAAGAGGTTTCTGCACCTCCCTGTTTATTGCAGCACTATTTACAAGAACCAGACATGGAAACAACCTAAGTGTCCATTGACGAATGAATGCATAAAGAAAATATATACACACATACAATGGAATACTATTCAGCCATAAAAAGAAGGAAAACCTATTTATGACAATGCATGGACTAAACACAATCCCTGGTAGTGTTAAGATGGGGAAATGATTTTTTTTAATAAAATATCCAAATTTGGAGCTAGATAGTTCAAAATGAAATTACATTTTATTTGTAAAGAATGATTTTGAAATCTTTTTTGTTCAAAGGTTAATGCCAACTCTTAAGATTCAGTCTTTCAACAAGTCTAAAATTGGTTTTATATATTGTTATTGTAAAAAGTCTTCACGAGTTTGTGTATATTCCTTCAGACCTTAAAGTTTAAAAACAAGAACACTGAAAATTGGGAGTTTGAACAAGTTTGACTTCCTTAACTAAGACTACTATTGGAAAATACTCTTACAGTTCATAGGGTAAAATTCTGTTTTTAAAAAATTATTTGTGGGGCCAGCCCTGTGGTTGAGTGATTAAGTTCACACGCTCCGCTTCAGCAGCCTGGAGTTTTGCCAGTTAGAATCCTGGGTGTGGACATGGCACTGCTCATCAGGCCATGCTGAGGCGGTGTCCCACACAGCACAACCAGAAGGACCTACAACTAGAATATACAACTATGTAGTGGGGGACTTTGGGGAGAAGAAGAAGAAGAAAGAAAAAAAAGACAATTGGCAACAGATGTTAGCTCAGGTGTCAATCTTAAAAAAAAAATTATTTGTAACTTGCTGGTGATTTAAAGAAGCTATAAAGTTTATGGATGGCATTTGTTCTTCACCTTTGTAAAAAATCAATAAACCAGTGTAAGGAATCGATAAGGATTCAGAATCAGTTGCTACTTCTGTAAAAAGTTAGGGAGCTCTAACACCCATAACAAGGATACCAGCTCGTGGTACAGAGTGAGCACTGCGGTCTTGTAGTTTTCTTCAAGAGAATTCCATCTTTAAGAGAATTAGAATCCGCTCTAAATTCTGGCTGAGGTGGTTTTCTGTCCCTACTTGGATAAGGAGATGTCTTACTGTAATATGTCGTCTAAAAGTAGGCAGAATTGTCTGAAATAAGTTTGTCAGATAACCTCTAGCTGTATCAGAATCTTAGTCGTTCTGTGCATCTCACCTCATTTGCTAAAAGGCATAGGAAAAATGAAGCCGTGCATTTCAGGAAAGAAAACTTAATTATGTATTTTCTGTCTGTTGTAGGAAGAGACTGAAAAAGGAAACAGCTCAGGCAGCACGTTATACTCAGGTGAAGTAGATCCCGCCTCTTCTGAGCCCTCACTGGCAGCGTCTCTCAAGTAAGCCAGTGGGAGAAGAGGAGGGACGCCACGCTGATTCAGATTACATTTCTAAAGTTTGGTTTCACGCTGTTATATTTAGTAGCACAAATTGGGCCGAAGAAACGTTGCCGAGAAGGATATGAGTTGGGGACTCAACAGTGGCCTGGAGTGAACATTGTTTCACTCCTAAAGTCATGTTAATAACGCACTGCACGTGTTCCTTCCCTTTGTCATCTCTGATGAGGCACTTCAGGAAGATAAGTTGGGGCAGAAGAAACAGGAATTCTGAATTCAATATAAAGCTGGAGGTTTACTGTGCCCATTTTCACATGCTCTTCAAGAATGTAGCACTTGCTTAGAAGCAAGGCATGGCTGTACTATTTACTTTTTTAAAGCCAAACTGAGGCGCTTTTCAACCAAAGATTGTTATGCTTATCAAAATAAATTGACTGGTATACTAGTTTCGCTTCAAATTTAGTTTTTTCAATTTAATATATCTATATGTGAAATTGCTATATTTGTGAAGATATAAATTATGTTCTTTTTGTCAATTACTTAACAATATAGGGAAACTAGTTTTCTTTTATTTAAATAACAGGGAAAGAAGCATGTTTGAATTTAAAAGATTCTTAAAACTGCAAGAATGAGTTTGAAGTGAAATGAGAGTCCCATGTATAGAGTTCTTTATTGTTCCCTTTTTGAAAATTGGATCTTCAAATCTGGCATAAAATAAAATGTAGGTTTGGAGAAGTTTCATTTGTGATGGTGCGTTTATTTCCAGTGTGTTTTATCTGAAAGCAGAGTGTGCTTTTAATTGGGGCCCATCACCAAGCTTTCCACTCCCACTGTCATCCCTCCTGCCCCTCGCCTCTCAGAGCCTTCAGTACATCAGGGCTTCTCCCCTCCAGCCCCGCAGGTACCTCTCCTGCTCAGAGGTGTTCCGTGACGCCACATTACCCACAGCAGGAAGTCCAGGTTAACCAGCCTGATACTTGACGGCTTTCTATAATCCAACCCCAGCTTTTCTTCCCAGGCCTTCTCTCTCTGCTCCACTTCTTCAAATAACCTGCTCTCAGTCAAGCCAGACCATTGGCCCTGTGCTCTCGGCCGTGTTCCTAGTTCACTGTTGCCTGAAGCGCCCCAGCTCCCATCCAGATCCTGGGCATCTTGCGCGGCTCAGCTCAAATACGGCCCATTGTGGGAAGCTTTTCCTGATTTCTGCCCAGCTCTCATAGCCTATTATTACCTGACCTTGAGTTAACCACATTTAAGTATCTATATGCTTGTGTGTGGTAGAAAACATATCTTCCACATCACTTCAGTGCATGGGTGTGGCTTAGTAGTTAAAACCCCAAGTCCCAACAATAAAGTATAAAATGTGATTTCCACACTAACAGTAAAATTTGTTCTTGTTTATGCAAAAAAAGCAATTCCTGCTGTCTTTGCAGGCTTGAGTTAAATCCAATAGCTAGACCTCTGAGACCAGGCCTCAGTTTCTGAAGCATGGCTGCAATTGGATCCCCTGGGGAGCTTCACTGCTGCCTGGGTCCCGCCTCCCAGAGGTTTCTCATGTAACTGATGTGGGATGTGGCCTGGGTGGAAGGTATCTTTAAAGTTTCCCAAGTGATTCTCATGTGCAGCTGAGGTCGAGAACCTCTGCTTAGTGATTCCCAAGCCCCATAGCCCATTTCTACATATAAACTTGCAAAGACAGAAGACAAGGGCTTATATTTACAAAAGAAAATTGTAGTTTTATTAATTCAGCCCATTCAAGAAATCAGAAGATGTCTAAGACTTGAATTAAGGTCTTGTTGCCTGGCTAAACAAACAAGGCTAACTGTCGTTTAAAAAAACAGAAGCAGTCTTTCTAATATCAATGCTGGATAAGAGTTATGTTGACTATATAAATCATTTTTTCACATTTCATTTGGCATTGACTTGAGACTATACTTTTCTAATTGGCATAAAATACACAGGAGAGAGTGTTTAAGGTGACTAACAATAAAAGTGAGAATGTTGAAGAGCCCTGGGATAGGCAAGAACTGGAATCTGCATTATTAAAGTAGATTCTGGGTTTAAGGATAGGCAACTCTGGTATTCTAAAATTTAGTAATGCCTGTCAGCTAACATTGTAACCAAGAAGGAATGTTTTTGGATACTTAAAAAGTTTGCGTATTTGTACTCAAGAGCAGGATTTAACACAAAGACTCTACTGTCTTCCAGAAACAATGCAAAATTGAGTGAATGATCACAGGGTTTTTTTCCAAGCTGCATTGCTTTCATCATTTCCAGGCTTATTCAGAAAAGCTTCCACCAAAATGGTCAGTCTGTATAATTGTACCTCTGCTGCCCTCCTGTGGATTATGCGGGCATTTGACAGTCCCTTTGTCATCAGAGATTTCAGTCATTGCTCTGATTCCCAGAACCATTTTTAATTTCATTTGGGATCTAATATTATCTAGGTCTTTTCTGCTTTCCTTCTGTGAAATTAGCATTTTAAGAACGGCTAAACTCGGTCTCTTATTGCTTAAATATGGAAGAAGTGTAATGTTGGGGACTGTGGTCAATAAGCTACTTTTCCTTCCCTCTCCCTTACATACGAGCAGAAGGTGAACAAACTGCCGTAGTATGGGTAACATTGAGACACTTGCCCACTGCAATTGCTGACTTGCCAGCCCAGGAAAACCTGTATGAGGGTGGCAAAACTGATGCTAACAGTAGCAGCCACCTAGTTTTATATAATTTGCCTTCCTTAAGGAGCTTTTAAAGAATTGAACTGTTGTATGTCCCAGTGGTAAGGCTTGTGCTGAACTAGCAGAAACAAAGAGGAGCTCTGACATCCTGGTGCTTAGGGCTTGGGGCTTCACTGAGAATTCTGGAGATGGGTTTCATTTAAATGAGCACTTACTTATGATGTTCGGGAAAAGGGTCAGTCATCTGATCCCCCACCGCCAGCTGAAAAGGCTCCTGGAGAAAACACTCCAACAGTTTGTATTTGACATGGGAGTCAAGTATTAGAGAGTTCCTTGGATCGAATCCCGTAGAACCATGCTTCTCAAGTTTTGCTCTGCAGGTGAATAACATGGTGATCTTGTGAAGATGCAGATTCTGATCCAGCAGGTCTCAGGTGGGGCCCAGGGTTCTGCATTTCTAGTTCCACATCCTGCTGGTGGTGGTAGGCTGTCTAATGGCTTCCAGAGAAATCTGAGTCCTGATACCTGGAACCTGTATATGGCAGAAGGTCTTTTGCAGAAGAGATCTTAGATGGGGAGATGATCCTGCATTATCCAGATGGGGGTCTAAAGCAATCACAAGTATCCTTGTAAGAGGCAGGCAGAGGGAGATCTGAGCACAGCAGAAAGCAATGTGGCCACTAAAGCAAAACACTATGCTGCTGACCTTGACGACGGAGGAAAGGGCCACAAGCCAAACACTGCAGCTCTGGAAGCTGGAAAAGGCAAGGAAACTGATTCTCTCCTGGTGACCACTGGAGGGAGCCCCTATACCTTGATTTCAGCCCAGGGGAACTGATTTTGGACTTCTGACCTCCAGAACTATGAGAGTAAGTGTGTGTTGTTATGAGACACTGTTATGGTGTGAATGTTTGTGTGCCTTCAAATTCCCATGTTGAAATTCTAACCCCTAAGATGATAGTATTAGTGGGTGGGGCCACTGGGAAGTGATTAGGTCTTGAGCACAGAGCCTTCATGAATGGGATTAGTGTCCTTATAAAAGAGACTCAAGAAAGTCCCTTCACCCCTTCTGCCATATGAAGTTACAGCTGGAAGGCACTGTCTGTGAACCAGAAAGCTGGCTCTCACAGACACCGAGTCTGCCAGCACCTTGACCTGGACTTCCCAGTCTCCAGAACTGGGAGAAATAACTGTTGTTTATAAGCTGACCAGCCTGCAGTATTTGGTACAGCACCTGAAGAGACGCAGAGAGACGCCAAGTCTGATGTAATTTGTTACAGCGGCCACAGGAAGCTAATACACGGATGCCAGGGTTCCTCAGACCACACATTGAGCAGTAACGCCTTGTAGAAACAAGTCCATAGAGGAGCGGCTCTCAACCCTGGCTGCACATTAGAATCACCTGGGGAGACTTTCGAACAAAAAAGGAATGTCCAGGCCCCATCCTAGAACAGTTAAGCCAGAGCCTGTAGGGCTGGGATTCCTAAGAATGACTATTGAAAGGCTCCATGGGAGAATCTAATTGGAAGGTGGGGAGGACATGAGTGCAATAGAACAAACCCCAAATATATCTTTTCTTGTGTTGAGGAAAACTCTAAAGCTGCCCCAAAATAGGGACACACTGGTCTGCCAGGAAGCCCCCTGAAACTCTACACCAGCTTCTCAAAATGCAGGCCTGGGCCAACATCTTCCCCGAAGAATTACCAGGTCGAGACACAACACATTCTGTTCCACCTAAATGGTCAAAGATGTGACTTGCCTCACGTTTATCAAGAACTCGTTGGCCTTTCTGTCCACACACAGGAATTGTTTCCAGAACAACTCGCGTGAGGCTAGAGGGTGGCTTCAGTCTGACACTCCCTCTCCACCCACGTTTACAGTCACATATGTGGTCAACGGTGGTAAGCAGGACGCACGCCTGACACGTTTTCTGTCCAGGTTGAAGGTATGGCCTTGAAAGCAGACTCAAGATGTCTCCAGAAGAAACATCCTGCTTACCATTTATTACGAAGAAGCTCCGGATGGCAACTGAGGGCAAGGGCTGTCAGCCTCCACGAATAAAGCCCGTGCTCCTGCGTGAGAGGCAGTCAGTTACTCGGGGCCTGGGCTTTGCTTCTCGTGACCTAGACACGTGGACTGTTTAAAATTAAGCATTCAGTGGGAGCACCAGAAACTACTTTTATGGAGTAGATGTCTGTTCCAACACACGCCAAGCTGGGCAAGCAGTGTGGGATAGGTTGCTGAGTGACCAAAGGAAAGACCCAGAGACAGTGAACTAGACATAAAGGTTTATTAGGAAGTCACTTACAGGGAAGGTCCAGTGGTGGCCAGCTGGACAGGAAATGTGCATCTGCTGCCACCCCCTGAGAGAGGCTTGCTTAAGTAGGCAGAGGAACAAGGGCTGCATGCTTGCCAAGGGGGTCATCCCTGTATGACCTGCATTACAAGGACCAGACCCTCACACACAAGGCCCTCCACGTTCCCTCAGACCACCAGGGTCTTGGTGCTAACTCTCCCGTGAGATAACAGCTGGGTTGGGCAAGCCCAGGACTGTTATCATTGTGAGTGCTGGCACATAGCCCAGACAAGGAGCCTCAAGGACACGTGATTTTAAAGGGGCACACTGGCATTATCTACCCCGCTATTGTCCGAATGGCCCTTACAATCTCATCATGCCAGTCTTCCGTGGTTTCCCTTGAGCCAGAAACAGAGAGGAGCACTGTAGCTTGAGACCGCAACAGCATAATAGAGAGCACAACATGAAAATAAAAGAGTAGTGAAAAGGCAAGGACACCAAAAAAAACACATCATCAGGTGGAGGGGCGTAGAAATGGGAAAGTCCGCAACAATCCTCCACTCTCGCAGGGCTCTCCAGTCAGAGGCATTGGCAGCTTGGAGACACCGTGGTAACGCCATGGTTGAAGAGAGAGGCAGCTCGCTGCATACCCAGCAGTTGGAGCGATTTTGTATGCCAGCAACCGTGTGTGTCCAAGCAGTGAAAAGGTTGGCAGATGTTGTCCTAAGGACAAAAAGTAAGATGTTTAGAGGGGAATAGAACAGGGAGGTCACGACCATCCAACAAGACACACCAGAGGGAAAGGATGAAAGGGCCTTGTGGAATTAGAGGTGTTACTGTGATATCCTCTTCTAAGCCTGTCCCCTAAGGGGTAAAGAGACTGTACCAGTGGGGCCCCACCTGTCAGTCCCAGGGCCAAGTGACCATGTGGGTCCCAGTAGGGAGTTCTGTGGCAGAAGAAAAAGCAAGTTGTTCTAAGTGCCCATCTGTGGTTGTAGTTTCTCTCTTTGATTAGCCCTTGTCTATAGAGGTATCGTCATATCAGGTCTTTGTGTCAACATCTGATATGCACCTGGTTGAGTGCATCTCATGTTTATTTAGTTGATATATTGCAGTTGCCAGGCGCCTTGTCCAGTGGGCTAGGGTCTTGCTTTCTGTTCTTAGTTGTTGTTTCAGCAAGCTGTTGATTTGTTCCATCAGCCCCACAGCTGTGGGGTTGTATGGCAAGTGAAAATGCCAATGTATGTCCATCTGATCAGTCTACATCCGTACCTGGTGGCCAGTAAAACATATACCATCGTCACTGTCCATGGGAACACCATATGCAGCACAGAGGTGTCCCAGGTCCCTTATGGTGGTCTTTGTGTGGCCCTCTTGCTGGGATATGCCTGGAGCATTCCTGTGGACATGTTCACACAAGTAGGGGCATACTGACAGCCATTAGAAAGAGGCAAAGGCCCAGTGTAGTCCACCTGCCAGTGTTGAGCAGGCTGGATGTTTTTGGCAATTTGGCCTGTGTCCCAGAGAATGGCCCAGGGTCTCTGTAAGAAACAGGAAGGGCACACCTGACAGACTTTCCCCACATCAGCATAAAGTAGGGGGAGGCCTCAGGCCTTGGCAGTAGCCATAGGGTCCTTTTTCCTTTGTGTCCGGTCTTGTTGTGTAGCCACTCTACCGTTCTTTCAGCTGGCACTTTTTCCAGGAGACGAATCCGAGCTAACTTGTCTGCTTGTTTGTTCCCTGGTGGCATTGTCACCCAATGAGCAGACACATGGTACACTGTTATCATCATTCCTCAGACCCACTGCCAGATGTTATCCCAGAGTTCTGCCCCCTACAACAGGCGATCATTAATAGTCCATTTTTGTCATGTTCATTGTACCATCCACAGGGTGAGCCCCTTATAGGCTGCCCAACTGTCCACACACAGACATATTTGATTGGGCTCACAAGTCAACACCATCCAGGCAGCCCACAATTTGGCCCACTGACTACTGTATTTAGAGCCAGAGTCCAACCACATGCTGTTGGTCAAAAGCTGGATGGCCACTGCTGTCCACTGCAGGGGTTTCCCCTTGCAGAGCCATCCGTATACCAGGCCTCTGCCAGGATAGTTGCAGGGTTTCAGGCATGGGCACGTCATGCGGTCTCCATAGCGTGGCTGTGGGAGTGGGGAAGACGCTGGAGATGAAGTGCCCTGCAAGGCCTGTGCTGGATGCCAGGGATCCTCAGACCACACTTTGAGCAGCAACAAATTGAGCTCTACACCTCCTCCAAAATTCTGCTTCTTTCCCGGCAGAAAATCATAAGGAACTCCTTCAGAACTCTTCAATGGCATGGTGCATATAAACACAGATACCCAGTTTTGATGAACAGTTAATTATTCTTGTAATGAAGGGTGAATTGGGAGGACTATCTCTGGAATATGAGTCCCAGAACAGTAATGTCAGTCTCTGACCCAGTCTTAGACAAACTGGACTATTTCCACCTATACTTCAAAAAGTAAGCAATAGGACTTCTGGATAGAGATGGTAGTTTAAATACTGGCATATGACCATAAGAACGTGAAAAAGAAGGAGCAATCTGTATCTGTATTATAAACAGAGGACGGCACCGTGCTCCTGCCAAAGGTGGTACATATGAAACCCAGTAAGATATTCACTGGATGAAAAGGACCAGCCTGCCAAATAAGTAAAAGGAAAAATGCTGGTTTTACTGTGCAAACATCCTTAGCTGAGATCAGCAAGTACTAGGGCTGAGTTGGAGGACCCTGAAGCAGGTAAATCATAAATGTAACAGCAGCTCTGAGAAATATAAGTATGAAAGTGCACATAGTGAGGATGTTAATGGAGTTCTCGCTCTGGACTTTTCCTTGGGACAAGTGCCCATGCTGGAAGACTTTGCCTCAACTCATAGGAAGCATTAAACAGTGTGTCCTAATTTTCAGTTGCCACAATTAATTAAGAGAAAAAAAAGATATCTGTATTAAATCTTCCTGAAAAAACTGCCATCAGTCATTGGCCCTTCTATTCTATCCAAGCTATTGTACCTATGATCCAGCAAGTTGAAAGTAGGATAAATCAAAATTTGCCGCTTCTCACTTGGTCTGAGCCTGGGAGATTTTAACAGCTTTCCACACGATCTCTTCACCAATCCCTTCTCACCTCCCATTGTGAATAATCCTAGAGCTCTCTCTGTGGTGCGCAAATCAAAACATCACCAGATATAAGGAAAGATACAACAAGTGACAATAAAAGACCAATCTGAGAAATATTCCTCTACAAATCAGTGTACTCCAACAAACAAGAGAATAAGCTCAAAACAGGATATTAGAAATCTCTAATATGTGTTTGTAATACAGAATCTACAAAACAACAAGAAGCATTTGTAAGATTTCGTGATCTAATATTGGGAAAATTTACATCTGGATAAAAAATTTGGAGTCTAAAAAGCAAAATAATCAGGAGATTGAATCCTGAAAACATCCAAAGAGATTATGAGAAAATAGGATTAAATTCTTCAGAATTAATCAAGGACAAAGCTGGAAATTATGCACACACATGCACTCACACACACATCTACATTTGAGAAAAAGAGAAGAAAGCAGAAAGGTGTGAGTCATTAATTGGCACATAATGGAATATATTTTCCCAGACTAGAAAGAAAAAGAAGAGATTGTTTGAATCTTAAAGGCTTACAAAACAAATGCAAGATTAATGAAAAGGGGCCCTGGCCCTCTATGGAAGCAATTTATAAAATTCAGATATTAAAAAAATACTACAACTATCCATAGATAAAATAAACAGAAAAAGAAGAAATTAATATTGGCATCAAATATCTCTTCCATACAATTAGTGTTCTGCAAGAAAATACTGTGCCATAAAATTTCTGTCCTCAGTCAAGGTATCATTTATCTACAAGGTACACCAGCAAGAACCCAAAATTTATTCCAAGTAGATATACTTCCTGAAAAAAGAATCATTCCCAAAAATCCATTATTTTAAAAGAAATAAAAGAAATTGTAATGAGGCACAAAACTAGTTTGTTAAACAGAGTCACCAAAATTGTTATGTTTAATATGGATGTGAAACTAAATGTAATCACAGGACTAATTCTTGAAAGAGAACTCATGGCATATGAAAAGAAGAGCAATGAATGATATAAAATAATAGATTTTGTCACTACAACTAGGAAATTGGGGATGAAGTAAAGAATAAAAACAAGCTTAACTTATACATAGAGGATAAGCAGATAATACATATTCTTGACATAAAAAGGAGAAAACAGAATTCCATACTAGTATAAAAATCAAAATATATAACTTCAAAATCACAATGACAATCAAAAGAGCAAAACCACTTGGTCCCTGTAACAAACAGGATGAGAGAAGGAAGAGCAAGGGAGCTTTCTCTCTCTTGCTGGAAACAGCATCAGCAGAGCAAGAATGGAGTTGGTCTTTACAGTGCTGAGTTCCAGCCCTTGGATGTTAAATAAATAAAAGCGAGCGAACACTATAAGCAAGATCAAACTTGTCAATTACAACAGTACATGTGAATGGCTTAAATTTTCCTTTTGAAGGACAATGCTTTTTAAATATAGTCAATAAAAACTTCTAGCTACATGATATTTCTAAGTATTTTTAAAATAAAATTATACAAAAAAGTTTCAATTATAATAGCATCAAAAAGAATAAAATAGATCTCTCTCAAGTGACATCAGCATCGTGGCAGAGTGAACTCTTCCCTTGGACTCTCCTTTCTAAAATACAACCAACAGGACACCAACAGAGGACACACAACACAGGAGACATCTGGGAGACCAACACAGCCATATGCCTGAAGATGGTGGTGAGGCTGGATCCTCCTGAAGAAGGTGAAGCTGTTCAGCAGGAGCTCTGTGGAGAGAGAGGAGCCATGGCTAGAGGAAGGGAACAGCTGAGGAGAGGTGCTCTATTCCCACTTGGCGCTCCAGCTTCACGATCCAGCCCCACATTCGCCAGGAGAGCGGCACAGTGAGAGAGGGGCCAGTTAGAGGGAGAGCTGGGAAGAGGCACTCTGTTCCTACCTGGCACTCCAGCAGTGTGCTCCAGTCACATGATTGCTGGGAGCACCACACAGAGAGAGAAGCAGTGGCAGGTGGAGCCCCATGAGCATCCAGAGCACCACACAGAGAGACAAGCAGCAGTTGGAGGAGGCATGCAAGGATACGAAAGTGCTCCTTTCACAACCTGGCATGCCAGTCCTGCTATCACCCGGAGCTCCGCACAGAATGAGAAGTGGAGGCTGGGGGAAGCACAGGGGAAGGAGAGCACCCCTCCTCCTGCCAAATGCTCTAGATCTGCCATCAGCCAGAGCATCACACAGTGAGAAAAGCAGCCTGTGGCCAGAGCTGGGGAGCCCCAGATCATGCTTGGGCCAGAATACACAGTGCCTGATCATCACCCAGTGGAGGCACACAGCGGCAGTGACCGGATAATAACGCTATGTGGAGGGAACAATACACACAATAAAGCAAAGTATATAAATAAAGAAAGTATATTAAATCTCCAGACCAGAAGGAAGATGACAAGTACCCAGAAACCACCCCTGAAGACACAGAAATCCATAACCTAAATGACAAAGACTTCAAAATAGCTATCATAAAAAAACTCAAGTAGTTACAAAAAAACAGAGAAAGATAAATTAACGAATTCAGGAACTTCTTCACAAAAGAGATTGAAACTT